CTAAAGATATATTATTTCTTTTAACAAACTCTTCATCTAAAAATCAATCTGAGGCTCTTGAATCTAATAAGACAAAGTCTTTGTAATGTTTAGGTCCTAAACTAATATCTATTATAAAATAAGAAGAGGGTTTAAAAGAAAGAATAGGACCTTCATTAAGTATTGAGCAAGGTTTCAATCGCACCATCTCTATTATAGCTAGACAAACTTATTTTTTGACATACTATCTTCTTTGATAGTTATACTTCTCATTTTATAATTGCATCACTTCTTTAGATAATGTTGAGTAATGTGCTTTGGTTCTCAAAAATATAAAAAAAATTCTTCTTAATGATAATAAGTCTTTTCTTACTTAGTACGAGGTTTGGAACATATTACATCAATTTGTATATCTTCTAATTTTGAAGGTATGTGTTGAAAAGACATTAGTATTGCCATTAAATTATAATAAAGTTGAAGCCTACTCATGCAATTCTTATATTAAAATTCAAAAAGTCAATTGTCATACTTTATAATAAAATCAATTACTTAATTCAATATTTAAAGATCAATTTCTTTACCTTATATTGTAATCTATAAAAAAATTGGCTAATATTTGTAATATCATATCTCTTAATATCAATCTCAAGTTATTGAAATTGTAAATCATATAATGTTATAAATTAATTTTATTGTTGTAAAATATGGATCTTATTTGTTACAACATAAATTACATCATGTTTTTCATACATAGATCAAAGCTCCTTCAAAAAAGCTTCCAAATTATCTAATATTGGATCACGTTGTTCAAAAAAAGATGAAAATCATGATAATATAGAATCAAAAAATAATATTCTAATGAACTTGACTTGTGATTTTAGAATTGAATAGCTTTAGAATTGAAGTTCAATTGTCAATTGTGTTTGATTGATGAATCTTCAAAGCTTTGATTTTGTACCATCAAACTTCTTAAGTAAGGCAATTCTTGGTTTTCTAGTGTTTGAATGGTGTTCTATCATAGGAAAATGGACATGATTTGGTGTAGATGTTGAAACAATTCTAATCATTTCTATATCTCCACTTTTTGTAATTTTTTTTTTGTAGTGGTATATTAAATTGATGCATTGCAAATATTAATTTCTTCAATTGTTCTTACATTTGTATCATTATATTCTTTATTTTAAAAAACTTTTGCCATAACAATATTTAGAAAAAAAGAGATATCTAATATTGCTGAAGACAAATAAAAGAAATAACTTGAGAACAAAAAAATAATAAAAATAATATCAATTTAGAAAAAGATAATCCGCAACTTCTAATAGACTTATGTTTTATAAAAAAAAATGATAATCGACTCTTAATCAACAAAAGATAAAGCTTTGATATTATAAGTATATTCTTGCCAATTTGTCAAAGATAAGAACTTGATAAAAATAAATAAACAAGTGAGACTTTCTCAAAGAAGTATGACAAAATAGAAATAAGAAAGTATATATTAAAAAGAAATTAGAATGACTATTGCCAAAAGACAAAAAAATTAGAGACTCTTGAAACTAAACAAAAAGCAAGAAAAGAATTGACAAGAATAAAGAAGGCTTCACTTTTATCTCTATATATACTATCTACCTAGGAACTACATGGTGACGTTTTATAGGACCTTCAAAATGTGTTGAATTTGCATGATATATATATCTTAACTTACAAGGCAAGTTTTTTATATGTGTACCATATAGTTAGCTTATTCTACAAGCTACTAATATGTGTGACATATGATTAACTTATTGATGAAGTTTCTAATCTATGAATCAACTATGAACACATGTAAAGTCAAAGCAATGTCTATAAAGCTTTTAGGATGCTTTCTTAAAAGATATCATGAAATTAATCTATTTTTACTTACTTCTATCTATTCATATTACCTAGATAATAATTACAGTAAATATATGTCCGTGATAGCTTATACTATGAGCAGATTCCAACTAAATCAACTTACAACTTCTTTACTTGATAGCATTCAAGTTATAAAAAAATTATTAATTGAATTTGATTAACAAACTCTTGAAACTTAGAACATGTGTCGTCAAACTTTTTTAGAAGATTAATTTGAGGCTCTAATCAAGAATTTTATATCCTTGAAATTATGAGTTTATAAGGTCAGATACCTTAATGCTTTATTAATTCATTGCTCTTATATTCTATAATGCTAACAATCAAACTAGTTGCAATGAAAAAGATATTATGTTCAATTTTATTGACTTTGTCTACAATTGCAAAGCACGTAGATTGTTTCCATGGTTCTCTTTAAAAGAAAAGTTTTAAAATCCAATTGATTATTAATATTTTGATATAAGAGCTTTGTAAGTGGAAATATATAGAAGTCTTTATATGGACAAAGAAATATATTAAGAACACAAGAACAATGGCAAAAGATTGAAAGAGCTTGAAGAACAAGATCATATTAGAAAGAAGACAGTTCTATACAAAAGAAACTTATTTAGAAGTCCAAGCAAAAGAAGAATAAAAATATTATAAAAATAAATTTATAAATATATATATATATATATATATATATATATATTAAATTATTTAAAATTTAGCTATTTAATTCTTAAAAATTATTTTAAAGATAAAATGTAGTTTTCATTATTTTTTTATCTAAATATGTTTTTAACCATAAATTAATATAGCATATAAATTATTCATTCTCTACAATTTTTAGTTCTTTAATTCAAGTTGGACCAGTTTTACATCCAACAATAAAATGTAAAAGTAATGACTAAGTTTACAAAAAAGTAATTTCAACATAATAAAGCTCAAAAAAAATCTATGCGAAAAAGACAAAATATAAATATAATATATTAAATATTTTAATTATTCTTAATATCTAATCCATAAGTTATAACTTATTACTAGACAAATTAGTTTTAATAAATTCCATTCTATACCATTAATAAGTATTTAAAAAATATCTTAGATATTTGAAGTATAAAAGAATCAATAAAATTATACCAATGGATCTAATAATATTATGTAGTTGAAAATTATTTCCTAAATAAGTATCTATATAATAAAACAATGTAGATATAATGCAAAGAGATTAAAAATAAATAAATTAATTAATTAATTAAAAACTTATAATTAATAAAACATAAGAATGAGGAAACTAGGGAATATGGAAATAAAGTTGCATAGATGAACAAAAAAATGGATGGATGTATCAAAGATTATAGTATTCAATGGTAAGGATTTTTACTAATAAATAAATAAATAATTATATATATATATATATATATATGAACTTATTAAAGCCAAATCTCAATTTTATTGAAGCCACATCTTCCAAACAATGTGATGATTAATTTAGTCGAATGTCACTCCATCTTATGCAATGTGCTCATGATAATGACTCAATGTGGATGATGTGGATCATCATCTGCTATAAGTGCCAAAAGCAACCGGTCTTTTCTGCTCGAATTTTGTTTTTTTGATTGATACTCTCTTCATGAGTGTAAAAGGCAGCCTCATCCTCTTCTTCCACATCCCACCTTAATCTCTGTGCATATGAACTATGCATTATAGCTGAGCCTATTTACAGGCATTGAAAGGATGTAAGATGAGTAGTTGAATTGGAACATGTTGGAATTTTAAATTAGAGCTTGCAATTACATTTATATTCTTAATATTTAATTGCATAGATTGATATTGTCAAATTTATACTATTGTACAAGCGTTAGGCTTCATTGATGCATCTTTAGATTGGCAAATAATATAATGCTTGAAAAGCTAATTAATTTTTCTTAAGCAATAATATAATCAAAAAACTATTTGACATGATATCGTTCAATAGCAAACCTTTGATACTTCTATTAATAAGATTAAGTTTGTTCTATAGCTCAACTCCTTATACTCTAAGAACTTTCTAGCATTTAGTTTCTCATTATACAAAATCCTCCCAACAAAGGTTATTTGTCATGCGGCAACTTTATTTCCATTGTTGCTGAGATGGAAGAAGACCATTATTAATTGATGGATTATAAATGGCATTTTGTATACATCCACATGTGCATTGATGGCTATCTTATTTGTATAATATAAAATAATAATAGAATAGTAATTGTAATAAAGACTTGGATTTGTCTTGTTGGTGAAGATGATAGTAAATAAACTTCAAGTATTTACTTTTCCAATTATCAATCCTTATTTATGAATTAATGTTGTGTATATATATCTTCTTTCTAACATAGATTTGACAAATTTGTTATTCCAGCTCATATAAAGGCTCTCGTCTCTTTCTCCACCAATATTAATTTATTAGTTTAACTACTTCAAATACTAAGCTTCAACTTAATAGAACTTCTCTATCAATTAGAATCGCCTCTCCGGTCTTTACAAAAAGTAATATTCCAAAAGCCACCTCTTTCACACACACTCGCATTCTTCTATCAACTATAGTGGCATTTTGTGGTGCATAATGAACTATAGAAGTTTTTGCCGAATAATGATGATGGTGGAATGAAGTGACATTAGACTAAATTAATCATCACATGGTTTGGAGGGTGTGGCTTTAACAAGTCAATATATATATATATATATATATTATGCAAATAGATTTTCATATATACATTTTTAGTAATATTATTATTAATGCAAGATAGAATTAAGTTTGAAAAAAAGATTAAGTGAAATTATTTGGTAATATATATATATATATATTGTAATGATGATTGTTATAAACTAAAATATTCTAATTTATATGCACTTTAAGTATTACTATTGGTACTTAGAAACAAAGAACTTAAACAATAAAAACCAACATTGTACTACTGTCTTTATTTGATTCATTTGGAAAAATACTTTTCAATTTTCTTTTTCTTCTTCTTCTTTTATGAATCAAGTAAATATGCAATGGAATACATTTTTGCTGTAGAATAGACATTTTCTTTCAGTTATGTCTGCAAATGACTTCAATTGACAATGGAAGCCACAGTCTAGACTTGAAAATTACAAACTTTGATGAGAGAATAAGATCGACTAAAATGAACACAGTAATCAAAAAGGGAAAGAGGAAATATCTATCTGGAAGAGTCGGCGTGGATCACGACGCACCAGGGAAGAGGCTTCCACCTCAGCAAGTAGAGCCTTCTAGAAGCACCTCCCGGAGAAAAAGCAGTGTTTCCCTTGAGTCCCAACATCTTATGCTCCGCTTTTCTTCTCTTGCTGCCTCTGCTGCGGCTTTTGCTGTTGCTGGGGACAGCGCCATTTTCAGGGGACCAGGGCTCCTTCACAGCGCCGGGCGTTTACCACCTGCACCTGTACTAAGCGGCGCCTGTGTTGAATCGAAGTTCCTCCCTTGCACAACAAGTCGTTCATGGATCCGTATCACGTGTGGCGTTGTCGATACTCCTCCTTTTGCACCTTTTTCGTTTCGCTTCTAGGACCTGTTTCTCTACTTGGAAAACTGTGGCAATGCCCTCTAGAGCATTACGTCATGTTGGTCCCCGCGTATACACTAAGTTCTGTGTTGCACGCTGTCTCTCCTGTTCACCCTATGCTGAATAGTCCCCTGAACATGTTGACTAAGGAGTTGCTTGTATGGGGCTTGATTTCTGTGCGGGGCAGACCTACCAATCTCTGACAGTATCTAAGATCTAATCTATTCTACCTATCGATGCGACATGGTTTTTACTATCTCACGGAATCTTCTACGCTGTTGAGCATCAACCCCTAAAAATTATCTTTAGGGCGAAAATTACTCTTAATTCTACACATTGAGCTGAAGTGTTGAATGACGTGCCTCCTCAACGAAGTCGTGGAACGATCTGGGATAACTTCCACAGCGACCACACGTGCAGAATGCGTATGCTCTACACACATTCATCGCATAACTCCACCACAAATTCCATCTGATTGAAACTAATCTCTGTACAACTTGTACGAAGCATTTTGGCACATCTCCTAGATTTCTTTTTGACGAATCGTTGAGGGCATTCCAGGAGGATCAATCGCTTCCAAATTAGGTCTATCATGTCGTGGGAATTTCGTGATAATAATAGTTTGGTTCACTGAGCGCATTCGGCAAACATGATTCCAACAGATGTCAAGGCTGAACATTGATTTCGTCACCGCGCGGCTCCACATAGGCAGATCCTGCCCCCACCACAAAACGCGAGCCGTTCGATGACGTTATTTCGTTGCAGCACCAAACACGAGCCTCTTGTAGCCGGATAAGGTGTCTGCGCGCCATAGCTCCCATTGGACCAGACCGTGCGTCTCAGGCCTATGCCCACTGCACTGGACTAACAGGTCGTCTGTAGCCGAAGCTTTTCGCCTTCACCATCTGTAGAGGGTGGTGAGCGCTGGTATCCTCTTGTGTCCGCGCCTTGGCTTTGTTGCCGCGGCCTCCCCTGGTCTTGTTGTGGGATTCTGGTGCAGCAAGCTGCATTTAGCGCAGCTGTAGTCCGCTAGTTTCTCCCCCGAAAATCGTTTTCCCTATCGTCTTATTGCGTGTCTTGCCGCTAAGCATTTCACACTTGTATATCCGTTTGAGAATCTCAACCTCTGAGAGTTTGTGGATTCTTCACCTGCCTCATCAATCTTGAATAGGAGGTGGCTGTGAGAAGTTTTACCGTCGGTTGTTGAGAGAGTTTCTTTCATTGGAATTAACACCAATTCTTGAACCTCTCAGAAACACAATGGCGCTAGTCCGAGAAGCTGTGCTGAGCAAGGGGATGCCGAGTGGCCTGACACGGCACAATTCTCGAGTTTGCTCACAGGAGAGATCATCCTCTTCGACTTCATTGTCGAATGTATTCATTAGGACAGGTCCTGCGTCGACGAACGCATCAACTCATTACGGGGGTGGCTCTGCTGCCACTGTCAAGCTCTTCTCGATGGCCAATCAGGTTTCTTTTCCCCTAAGATTTTTGTACTGCAGACAGCCTACAATGAGGGTCGACCTGTTATTGCAGTCTTAAATAATATGATTAGTATGGCTTCTATTCAGCAAGAAGTTTAAGGGCATTACCCAATTTGAAGCCATGACCGGGTGACCATCAGTGGAGTTGTACTGATTATAGGTTAAACTGGAACAACATTTTGTCCCTGAGAGTAATGCAGATTACTGGGTGTATTGTTCTACTATCAATTGGGACTTAATGCGGAATTCATATCTGACAGAAATGTAAGAGCGCCTCGCAGCAGACAAGAAAATGCGGAAAGTTGGTTTGCAATGCCAAAGCGAGTCCTAATGGCAGCGAGGGGCCAAAGGTACAGCGAGATGCGTAGCAAACATTTGAATAGTACTCATGCATTTAGAGAATTGTCCAATTTCGTGTGCCAAGTATATTGCCAAGGGTATTCATTCCTAACTTTGGCTGCGTTAACGGATGTTTTAAATGGGTGGCAGATGGTTGTAGCTATCACCGGTGCAACGGGATTTGTTGGCTCTAGACTGGTGGAAAGACTCGTTAAAGGTATCGAGCCCATCATATAGCATTTTCTTTTCTGGTCTAGACTCCTCCCTTCGACTAATTGTGTTCTATGGTGCTGAAGTCAGGAGCTTACTCATTGAAGGCCAGCTGATACCGCTGGCCTGGGGTTGTGTATTTCAAGTACATTTTGTCTGAACAGAACCGTTTTCCGTTGTGAATCCACGCAGATGGACATGAAGTTCGAATTCTGACCCGTTCTGAAACCAGGGCCCGGGAAATTTTTCCTGGTGAGTATCCGTAGTCTAAAAGGTGTTTGATTTCTCTTCCCCATTATAGAGTGTGAGAGGTTGCTCATGTTTGGTATGCGTCATTTCAACGTAGTCCCGGTCTTAGATCGTGATTACTTTGCTGAGGATACCGGGAGGTCTTTTTCGCAGAAACAAGGTATCCGGGTGTGAAGGTAGCAGAGGAAAGCAGGTGGGATGAACTGATTCAAGGTTCTACCGGCGTTGTCAACTTGGCTGGTTCCCCTATTTCCACGAGATGGACTCCCGAGGTATGCGAGATACGTTTTGATGTGTTTGTATTCTACTGTGACCAAAGAATTACAGAAATTGCACCCTATTAGCGTGCTTGATTAGACGGACGTTATGTGGATTGTGTTGTTTCATCATCGTTCGATTGAATATTCTGTTGAAAATCGTGTTACGAGGTCATATAACATTTTCCGATTTTTAGAGGTAGTACACATTATGCAGAAAGTTGGCAAAAAGCTATTGGAACTCGATTTTTTTTTAGGACTTGTCATTCTTGGGTTGTCATCAATTGGTGCTTATTTCCCATACGCTAATTGTTTATCACAGGTGAAAGCAGAAATCAAGGACTGCAGGGTTGCAGCTACTAGCAAGGTGAGCATTTCAGGGATTGAAAACATGTTTGAGATGTGTGAAATGAGCGATGTTCATACATGGTGTACTTAGATACTTGAGGATTTCAGTAATCATATTGGTAAAATTGAGGGCAATTTTAAACTCACAAGTCTGTTGAGAAAAGGTATGTCGGATTTTAGTCTAGCTGTTCTTGATCTGAACAAATTAGCAAACTCAGAGTAACAGTTCAAATATTCAGCGAGATTCTGCAATAAAAGATGGTGCGCATGTTTGCTGGAAATTATAGGTGGTGCAAGCGATCAATTCAGCACCGAAAGAGGCGCGACCTGCTGTTCTTGTTAGTTCGACCGCAGTTGGATTCTACGGCAAGTGAACTTCTTCACAAGGAAACCATGTATACAGCCTATGATACGGTGCGAATATTATGAAGGAAATAGTAGTTAGTGATCCACACGCCTCTGATACTGTAGTTTGTTTCTGCAGGGACAAGCGAGACGTCTGCGTTTGATGAGACAAGTCCTTCAGGGGATGATTATCTTGCCGAGGTACGTGCACTGGGTCATAATTTTAAAATGCGAGTAGTGTCTACTTATGCTGCTGAAACCTTCACGCGATGGGACAATCACATGTTTATCGGACCCTCAGTACAAAGTGCATTATGGTTCGAAAGCGGGATTAGGAACTGACATAAGAGCCCATTCTGGTTCATCTGGCAAGAGCTTCTTCTAATCAGATTTCTAAACTCAACTGGTAGGACTTGGCCTTGATCATTGTTGAACCCGTTAGTTACACTAAACCTGGTCAAGTTGTATCTGAGTTTGTAGGTCCCAACTCTGTCTTTTGGAAGATAGGAAATCATCTTGTGTCGTATTGATAACCATCACGCTTTTAATCAGCTTCTTCGGAGGGAATGCACATTACAAGAGTGGTAGTATCGTTGAGAATACTGGTAAACAACACAGGAATTCTACTATTATCTTGATCAGTTTAGCTGATGATGAGGGTTTAAGAGTATCGATGTCGATTCGTGGAGCTCAACACAGGTTTGTAAAGCATGGGAAGCAAGTGCTCGCAAGGTGCGCCAAGGAACCAGACTCGTTCTCCTTCGCACTGGAGTCGTGCTGGATGGACAGGAGGGTGGTAGTCTAGGCACGTCTCTGGAACCCTATTCTTTTCTCCAACTTATTCTTCAACACTGAAATGGTCGGAATGAAATGCCCGATCGGGAACGTGCGGTGATCGTTAGTGTATCTTCTAAGCGATATACTATTCTTCAAAAGTGTTAGTATCCCAAACCAAACTGCTTCGACTTCTCACCCAAACTATAACTAAATTTGAAGTAGGTCGTTTTAGAGTTTGATATAGATAGTTCGGTCGTTCCTAAGCCCGTTTTCGTCAGCACCGCCTTGTCCCACCTTTGGTACCCGCTGCTTAAGTCGTGTTAATGTCGATTTGTGGGTCACAATTACGACTGAATAGCTCACAATGATGAATTTAGAACCCCTCTTTGCTATTCTGATTATTGTTTCGACTCAATTTAGATTTTTCAGAATAAAATGGTGACCTTCAGAATACATCAATTTTGCGAACGGGCTGGGGCAGGTGTGCAGAGTGTGGGAGGAGAAAGCTAAAGGATTGGAGAATGGCACCCGCCTTGTTCTCATCCGTATAGGCGTTGTACTTGATAAAGACGGCGGAGCACTAGGCATGTTCACCACTTTCTAACTTGCACCTAGACTTCACTTGAAGAAAATTCTTGAATGACACCGATTAGCTATGTTAAATATGAATGCTAAGGATGGTACTGTTAGTTGGGGGTATTCGAAATGATTCACTACGTAGCCAACTTTACCTGAACCATGCTTTCGTTGATATGCTTTATGGTAGGAAGTAACTTCTAGTACAGATTCCTAGAGTTACACTTGTAAGTACTGTTTAGAACTTCTCGGAGTCGTTTGTATCCAAGTCACGAAGCTGCTCTTTGTTTTTCATAGGAGTGATGATCAACTATTTTCACTATCCCGTACGGATGTATTGATCGTATATAGTTTTCGAGCCATTTTGTTTAAGCTAGAAACATTAAATTTGTGTTTTCACATTATCTTTCGTCATCTCTTTCGGTAGAGCCATTGGGGTAATATACGAGTCAGTGTTAGTGGACGTTCAAATAACTGACTCCTACAGCACATTAGTTAGTTAAAAATGGACCTGCTCTGTACCTTCAAGCATATAAGCTGTTCAGTAGTTGATTTGGAATGTTTCCCTTTCGGTGATGTTGAGGGGTTTTGCACGACTTCCTCTTCAGAAATGGATGTATGACCTACCTTTCATGTAGTTGGATTTTAGAAACAGGATGTACAAGGTTTAAGAGCGCTACGAAATACTACTTCCTGATTGTATGTTTTTTTTCTTTTTTGTCCCTTTGCAGCCAAGATGGTTCCTATCTTCTCAATTTTCGCGGGTGGACCACTAGGCTCTGGAAAGCAATGGTTTGCTACATTTTCTCGATTGACTTATGTTCTTCAGTTCTTGGTGGTGCTCCTATTTGAGTACAGGATTCTCTTTACAGTGTTTATCAACAGTTTCCTCTTGCAACTGCCTTTCCTCTTAAGCGTTGAAGTAATGTGTAAAGATGGGCAGTTAGTGTCTGTGTCTTGCAATGGAGGTAGAATTAGATTCTTGTTCGAATTTATATAATTTGAATAGCTGTCGTCTCTATTGGTAACTCTCTTGCCAGATCCAAAAAGTCTCTCACCGGAAATACCTTACAATGCACTTAACTATCGCATTTGTACTTTCAATATGAAGGTTTTCATGGGTGCATCGCGACGATCTAGTGTCTATGATCATTGAATCTCTCAGAAATCCGGCGTATGAAGGTATGCAAAATCCCTCGAATTGGTTCATCTTAACCTTTGCGGCTCTTTAATTACGAAGGTTTAAAACCTAGTTTGTCTGCAGTGACGATTTTTATTTTTATAAACTACTTTACCCTGTATGTTCCTATGAGAATTGACATGCATTGTTAATTTCTGGGTCGACCATATGTTCCTTGATAGGTGTAATTAATGGAACAGCACCAAATCCAGTGCGAATGGCGGAGATGTGCGACCGACTAGGCGCCATATTGGGGCGCCCTTCTTGGCTTCCTGTTCCTGAGTTTGCCCTCAAGGCCATTCTTGGTGAAGGAGCCACTCTTGTAAGTTTCTGTGCGCTCTTTAACGTGAAATTTGTATGGTTTGAAAATTTTCAGTGCCGGGTGTCGCATTTCATACTGCAAACGCAGTGGTTTTGTACGGAGCATGTGAGCAATTTTCATGACAATCCTGTATAGGCTTTACGTCGCTTCGTAGTGGCTTGTGTTGAAATGAATGTCGGATAACTTTGTGCAGGTTTTGGAAGGACAAAGAGTGTTGCCAAAGAGAGCACAAGAACTCGGGTTTTCTTTCAAGTATCGCTACATTTCTGATGCTTTGAAAGCCATCTTGACCAGCTAGAACCCATATCTTGCATAAGCCGATGTGGGCTGTTACTTTCACAAATCATTGTAAGCTTGGAAGAATTCCATCTGATTGACACTCCGTTATGTCAAGCAGACTATTGTTGCTAGTGGACAATGTGGAGTTCTGAATGCCTGTTAACAACTAAAAGAATAATAATAAAACCAGTTATTTTCAGCGCAAAGACTTGCTAGACCAAAATCGCACAACTGAATGCTGAAAATTTTGTCGCAGGGTAATTAACTATACAAGAACTGCTGTTTTGAGATCTGAATGTAAGACATAGTCATTACGAGGGCGTCAGTGATTCATGGGCACAAGCTTGGATACAAATTCAAAGTTTCTTATCTCTTTGCTATTTATTTCATACCTATATTAGGAAGTGTTGAATTACTTCTATGTATGTATGTATGTATATATATATATATATATGCATTTTGTTTTAGTGAGTATGGTATTGCCGAACACCCAGAAAAACACACAGGATTTGGAGAGTAAATATGGTAGGGCGTGAAAATATTAATATGTACTTTTTTTGGATTGTGACTGTCATTGTGGACTGTATTAAGGTCATAATGTCTAGAAATACCTCGTTGGCTTGCTATAAGATTTTGACAATCATAGCCTTGTTTCAAGTCTTAAAGGTTTTGTGGTACAATCTAAAAAGGTTTTTTGCAATGCTACTAAGCAGCAAATATATGATTATCAAGTTTAGATTTTTTAAGTATCGTTTGTCAGATTTCAGTGGAATTGGAACAAAAAGAAAAGTATAAGAATATTGATTCTTGAGAAAAAAATATGTATATATGAAGTTTTCACCTAATGTTTGGGGTTCTTGTAAATGTTTCTTAAATTTTTATTTGATTCTTTTTGAATAAATCAATAATCATTATGTTTGACTTTTTTGCATTACAAGTTATGTAATAATACATCGATTATATAAACATACATACATACAAACACACATGAATATATATTTTTTTTTGGCTAAGTTGGGATTGTAGAAACTATTTCAATTATTTTTAAAAAGATTATTGAGCTATTCTTCACATCACTATCATACCATATCATATACCCAATAAGACCATTTTAATAGAAAAACATTTTTAAACACAATAACAAAGAAATTTTTAATTCTTTTAATTAATTTATGATACCCATTAATTATTAAAGAGCTATTTAATTTTTAGTTATTGCAAATAAATTTCATTTTTTAAATAAATATCTTTACTATATATACTAAACCATAAACTTTTGTTCTTTTGAATATCCAAATCAATATTTGATGTTTTAAAATTACTTTAATATATGCATATATATATATATATATATATATATGTATGTATATATCCATTGCTTTGTAAGAGAATCAAAAGATTTCAATGTCATTGAAGTTGTATTTATACAAATATACTTATGTTTATGAATATTATAATATATTACAGTTTTTTTTAGACGTATACATGCAGTAGTTTAACAATTTTTATTATTTAGGTATTGGTTGACATTTTTAGGTTTTGTGGTCATTAAATTTTGAAGTCTTATTTCGAAAAATAATTAATAACAAACTTAGAATGATATCTTAAATGCTCTTTGTCTTTGTTGCATATTTTCAATCAGCACCAAATGCTTTAGGTATTTTCTGTCTTAAACTTTCTGATATTAGGATATTTCACCAATTCTTCTTTATGGCTTGAGGTTCTCAGAATAAAAAAAAACATCAAACAATCCAAATTCAGAGAATTTGAAACATATGATATATAATTATCTAGAAAAAAACGTTCAGAAAACCAACAAACATTCATCTATTACAAAATCAATTCGTGTTACAATTTGATATGTTTTTGCGTTCTTAACATGATAATAAATGGAATTTTAAAGATAATCATCCTAAAGCATTTCTAATTTTACCACTCTTACAAACTCTAATTATTCCAAAGATAGCATGACATAAATTTTACAATACTGGTTCAAAACACAAATAAAGATCACACCTACAGCATGCATAAGTTCACGACACCCACTTATGAAGATCAAATTTTATGACACAAATATGCAAAGTGCTACAATAATAATTCCTAAAAAACTAACAAATATAATTGGAAGTGGATACAAACTTATCCAAACATCTACTTCTTTTCAAATAAAATCAGCTAAAACTTTTGAGGGGAAGCATCAGCCCAAAGATATAACATGGGTAAGAAACTACTGGTGTCATTCTAGAAGAGAAAAAAGAAAAAGAAAAAAGTGAGGCTTATTTGTATGGTCTTTGTGTTTGTTACCATATCGGTGTACCTAAATGCATACCATTTACAACCAACTCACTCGTCATATTGACAAAGTGTAAGTGTTCATTTCCTATAACTGTCGCATGTCAGTCCTGCAGTGAGCCCTTTGGGACAAGGTACAGAAAATGCAAAGCCTCACGAAGTAGGCATACAGACATGTTACTGGGTGCCTGGCAATTGCACAATGCTTTGAAAAGAATGAAGAGGTATAACTATCTATCGGGTGTTACTTTGACATGGATACATCGGTGGTAGTGATTTGTAGTAGCTTGCGTTTGATCGAGGGGGTGAAGAAATGCTGCCAGAAGGTGACGTTTCTGGGCTTTCGGAAATCTCAATAGGTGTGGGCAAGTGACACAGAAAGCTGCCTTGGATGTGACCATTGAGGCCTCCTTGAGCATCTGAAAAGATAATCACATAAACCCATTTTAGCTTGACCGGCACGTCTTCATGTCATCTTACAATCATCAAGCACGATGTATGCGTGTACAACACTTCGGAAGGGTTCAAAAGAAGTTGAGAAGGGATAGCACTTTAGTGTGAAAACACTGCCATGAAAGATGAAGGGATCCCAGCTAAAGATATTACACAAGACCATGATCCAAATACCAGCAGAGCATCTTCCTTAAACCAGCGTGTAAAAGAGAAGCAAACTCTCACCGAAGAGGGTCTTGATTGATGGCCTCTTTGGCTTTCCCTTTTTTTTCAGCTCCGCTGCTCAGGGAATGTGAAGATTAGGTCAAGCCCGCAAGCATTACTACGATGTCAAAACCTATTGTTATTTGATAGAAATAAATAGAAGACATGGGCAACTTTCAAGGTTGGGACTATTCCATTGAATAGCACCAAATTCAGGTGACCCAAAACATACCAATTCCAGGTATATTGACATCTTGGACAATCTCGAAATTCTTGTAAGTATAGCCCACAAAGTTGACGTCCTTTGATGACAGCATCTGCACCCAATTTCTGTTACAATCGAGCCCAGACAGACACAGTGACCTCTTACAAAAACCTGTACATTCTGGATACGTTTGCGTGAACTTCGTAAGGCACGGGCTGAACAACTCAAGGCAATCTGGGTTGAGATGACGCATTTGACACTTGAAACTGCATACCTTTCTCCATGGTCCTGATCTGGTAGATGATGGTATTTGGGAATCATTCTGCAAATATCAAGCTTCAATGAGCATCAAAGATTTCCGGATCACGAAGATTTACCAGAGTCTACGGGTTATCAGTGAGGATAACATTAAAACGCACTCTTATAACATCGTCACATCAATGTTAAGCTATATCAACCTCAAGTAAGTGCGAACAAGGCAGTAACCCACCCGTAGATATCCCAATTAATCCAAAATTATACAGACTTCGGCCCTATTTAACAAGTCAACTCATGCGAAGGAAGATCAATAACTTGACAGAACTACTCGGGGCACAATAGTAGGAATTGTGATAAACTAGCTGAAAACTATTTGAAAATTATCATCAGAGTTTAACAACTCTAAGAGTGCCAAAGATTCTGATTTGAAAGGTAAACGAATGTTCTAGATAGGAAGGACTGTTAACCTCTTCAAATTTCTCAAAATTCTGAGTATCCAACTCATCTTTCACTTCCGGTTTAAAAGCGGCCTCCATTTCATATAACCTTTCCCATGGCAATCCTTTGAACCATGGATGATTCTGCGATAGTCACAAAACGATGATGAATTAGACTCGTAAAATAACGTCTTACAAATATTGGCGTGACTATCCAATACAGACAGCACTGAACCTGTGAAGGAGATCCAAAATACCAAAGTTTCCAGGAATCGTGTTATAATAAGTATGAAATAACCCTAAACGCATTCTCTAGTTTGAAAGTTTTTGTGGTACACCCCAAAATGTAGCCTACCTTAATCTCCGCGACACCCCTAGTCCCTAGGCGGTGCTCCACGTCACACAACAATCTACTGATAATATCCTTCGCCTCAGGTGCGAGTTTAGCTTCGTCTGGGAACTTTAAATTATTTCTCCAATTGACGATCTAATCCAACTCCCATAACCAACACATCCAAGAACAACCGAAATAAGCCCAGAGTGCCAGAACTAAGAATGTTCACATTCTCAACTTTAGCAGTTTCAGAACCTACGGGTAATGACATAATTAAGACAATTAAAACATGTTATGATAATTGTTTTGCTTATGGAATTGGTTATTAGAAAATTTGAAACAACATGGACAATGTTCACTATAGACAAATGAAAGCACACAAAAAGAAACGAAAAGACGACAAGAGATACCTACCTTGCGACAAGTTGTCATGGGTTCATCAGAGTAGAAAGGGGGGTAACCAACCAGCATCTCGTACATGATTGCTCCTAGTGACCACCTGCAGGAAAATCATATGTTGAACTGTTCTGGGCTGAACAAAAACCTAACATGCGGGGCTTCCTCCCAACCTAGTCGAGTATAAAGTATCTCGAGTAATTTCTATCTTGAGCAACAGATACCATACATTTGGAGTAACATTGTGCTTATATATGTTATCCTCGGGCAACTCCAAATAATGAGTCAATGTCATATGGGGCACAGCTCAACTTAGACCAGGGACATCAAGAGCAAGTTTCAGTAATATGAATCAATTCGATGCATACCAGTCACACTCCATCCCATAGCCTTTCTTCAGCAGTACTTCAGGAGCAATATAATCTGGAGTGCCGACTGTTGAATATGCCTGAATGCGAAACTTTGTGTCAATACTTGAGATTACAGATGATCAATGGAGTGCCACTTGCACTCCTCTGTATGCAAACCTAGAAGATGACATCTATGACAAAGGCAGAAATTGTGAAGAGGACGAAGAGCTACTGCAAAATGGAATGCAAAGAAGATTACCAGCATTCGTCTGTTCCTTTGCCAGTGAAGTAGCTGTTCCTGCTGTGTTCGCCTTGGTCCGGGTGAAGCAGATCTATGCTGCCTGGGATTTAGAGGATCTTTGGTGTTATTTTGATTTAGCTCGTACTCTTGCAATGCAGGCAAGTTGGAACAGTCTAAAGGCTTACAAAGGCCAAAATCGGATAACTTCATGTGTCCGTTCTTATCCAAGAGCAGATTATCCGGCTTGATATCCCTGAGAAAAACCAGAATAGACCAGAATCAACAGAAAAGAATCTCAAAAACATGTTTGGAAACATGGACCAGTAAACTGAGATGTCATAACTCTTTTGTGGGACCCCGATGTGATAACTAAATCTCGGCTTTTAGTAAGACTTCCCTACAACAGTTAGATTGCGTTCGTAAGTGCATATGTTAGATGTTCGATGATACTGTGATGATCTCTACTTTGTTCATCGAGAGACTTCTACTGGCAATCAAATTAATTTCGACTTCAAAATCTTTTAAGTCGAAATACTTTCTAACTGTCACATGCAACTATCATAAAGAAAAGAGAAAATCTATAGCAGTATGATAATTTATAAATTATAAATCATGATAAATAGTAGATCGTTTTTCAAAAGCCATATTTTTCAACTAATTAATTTTATGGAAATGCATACTAAAAAGTTGACGTAGTTAAAGAAATGCCCTAGGAAGCAATCAGCTGACCGCAAGCAGCATTTAACCTGCAGCTAAAAATTTGAGATCCCACATAAACACAGTCAGAGATTAATAGGACATTTGGAATTACCTATGTATATAATTGTGCTTGTGGATTGACTCAATAGCCAAAACACACTGCCCAACATAGAATCTAGCTTCATCTTCAGACAATGTGTCCTTCCGCATGAGAAGCGTCATCATGTCTCCTCCAGGCAAATACTCCATGATCAAATACAAATACTCCTCATCTTGAAACGAGCAATACAACTTCACAATACAATTGCTATCGACCTCTGCAAGCAAATTTCTCTCTGCTTTTACATGCTCCACCTGCAATTACCGCAAAATTTTCAATTCAATGGCTATGATTTTTCACTATCATAGTCGATAAAAATATTTATCATTATTATTGTTATCATTCTTATGATGAAAAAGAAGAGTTAGTCCAATATTTTCAATTATGCGGTAAGGTGACAGAAAATTTCTCAAGAACTTGTATGCTACAGCAAAATTCAAGGATGCAAGAACTCGTTTCCGTTTAAAATTTCTCCCGTTTTCCTAGCATCCGATATCTTTTGAAAGTGATCTCCACAGTGGACACGATTCTATCAAGCAAATAGAAAAATACAAAGATTAAAGTACCTGGCCTCTTCGAAGCATCTCAGACTTCTTCAGTTTTTTCATGGCATAGACTGTAGAACTTGTTTTCTCTCTGCACAACCTCACCTGTCACATGCAACATCAGCTTAAATTAGCTAATATCAAATCCCCGATGTCTTAATCAAATACATTTTCACATGCTAGAAAAGGCACACAGCATATAACCGGAAGTATGACCGAACTTGGCACGGTTAGCAAATTCAAGTGCATTTAAACAAACTAGTCGAATATGGAATGCAGATTCAGACTAAGGACACATACCTCGCCAAATGCTCCGCGCCCAATGATGGTCAGAAGTTCAAAATCCTCTACTCCCATTTTGTGGCGTTGCAAGCGCATGTACTCCGTTTCTTTTCTCTCAAGATCCTTGAGCAGATTATTCTGCTCCTCCTCTGTAACGTCTGCATCAGCCAGCTTCCGCTCCAACGACCAACGTCTGATGAAGTCAACCAACCAATTACCATGAGTGTTCAGTGAATCCACAACCACTACGTTCGAAAGCAGTTCAGCAATTATCGTCCAAGACAAGAAGAACCCCTTTGCCCGATTGTACTCCAATGCAAAAGTTTCTCGAGCACAACCTTTGCAATTCCAACAATCGAAACTGGCATAAACATTGAGAGATACTTTGATCAACTCAATAACAAACATGAACGACGTAAACTTCCGAGCAAGGATCCTACAGGCTCAGGGATAACAGTGCTGTAACATTCAACCGACTTGTACTGCAGTAGAGCAATACCATCAACTACTTTACAATCGAATCGTAAACTGCGTTTGAGATTATTGAATATCAAGTTTGAGCAGCTGTTTCACCAATACAAAAACTGGCGAATTAAGCAAGTGCCAGCTGCAACTCGTAACAACGGAGCAAGAGGGCCCGGTGAGCGTGGCTTGAAAATAGAAACAGCTTCTCATCTTCGCGAAGTAAGAGAATGCTTATCTAAAATGTGCAAGTGAAAATTACCTATCAAAAAAATTAAATTAAATTAAAGCAAGGGCTTGCACAATCGCACACAAAATATATAATCAAATACTCGGGGTACAATCCAAGAACATAAAGGAAAGAGACGGAGAGAATTTGGGCAGCTGAAGTGAGAAGCCAAGGATTCTTAACAGGCCTCAATACCTTAGCTTTCGCTCGTGCAAGTTCTTCATTTGTGATTTGTAGTGATTTTCAATGTACTGCTTAGCGGCTGCCACTTTCTGCCTGGTGATGCTTGAAGGCAACTCATCGCTCGCATTAGCATCAGGTCGAGGGCTTTTAAGAGGATCCTTGCCGCTCTCCGATCCCGCCGATCCATTTTTCTTAGACTCGTTACTCTTAATCCTATCACCTCTGGGTTGAAACCGATTGAACCAACTTCTTGTTTGCTCCATCTCAGTCTTAAGGTCTTATCTACTGCTCTCTACCCTTGCAATACTTGACAACAAGACCATCCCGCTAACTCCCTGTTCTCTACACTATGTTTTGAACTTCTACTTTGAAGCTCAAGCTCCTCTTGGTAAAATTCACCTAATTTCGTCTGCAACACTTATCGCATTCCTGTAAGACAGTATGAAGAAGAGACCTTCTTTGTCCGCGGCTTCGATTATGTCCCAGTTACTGGGACGCGCTACAGGAAATGGGAGCGAAGAGACTAGAAGTTCCCTGTCGCTGGCCAGCATTTCCACACTTGAGCCCAAAACGAAGCTAATGAGGTGGGTTAATCAAGCATGCACCACTCCCCAGCACCACTTCTTCAGCTGGGAAATGTTGTACGAATAGCGCCGTTGCGTTCTCACATGATCAACCAAGAGGGGAAAAAAATCCTGTACGGCAAAACGCTAAAGCAGTTGATATGCGCAGGGGGCGGGCACACGCTCTCCTCCTCTCCGACGTAACATGCATGCCTCTCCACCAACATTCGCAGTAGTTCATTCGCTTCAAAAACAACACAAACCCAGCAACGATAGAGCAGGGCTTTGTACCACAACCTGTGTGGCACTAAAGACGAGCAGATGACCCCCCCAACACGCTCTCAACAGCTTGAGAAACAACAACTATCGACAATTACAACAATCGCGAGCCTCACCCCTCTCGCCCAATTCCCCCACTCCCACGTTTAAGACCAGACAAGCGCAGTATATCAAATTAATACGACAAGAGGCTCTCTCTTCGCAACCGAATTAGTTCACCATTTGCGACTCCAGCTGACAAACAGTTTAAACAACAAAAAAATGAAGAAAACAAAGCCAACCCACTCTCGACCACTAACGTCCGGTCACTGCGCACCCAATTGCACCAAACTGCACACAAAAACCTAAAACCAACAGTCTAGAAAAGCCGTCACGCGCGCTGCGTGCCAACCTTCCCTCCCATGAGGAGCATTCCAGCACCGATTTCTCCCCGCTTCAAAAGTCGTTCAGAAATACGGGAGGAAAATAGAGCACAGGTCCCGAGGCAGCGGAGTCCGCGCGATCAAGAAAAAGCAATTCTGGCACGAAAGAAAGGGGAATGGAAGAAGAAGAAAAAATCAAACAAAAAACAAGCTACAAAAATGGGGGCGAAACGAGTCTCTCCCTTCTTCGTTCTTCTTCTTCAGCGCTGTCTCTCCCTCACAACTCTACTAGTTTTCAACCTTCTTTTATTAGTTAACAACGAACAATTCGGTGATAGTATATTTGCCCTGGATGGGGTAACAACAATAACAATAATAAATAAATGAAAAATTAAACTAATACCGTTCTTAGAATGTGCTAGATGAGGAAGGATCTAAACAGGGTGAAACATATATACATATATATATATATATATATATAAATATTTATTGCGGGTGGATTGAATCCAATCCCCTCTTTGCACCAAGCGCTTAAGTGTTAAGCTATTTTGTTGTTGTTTCCCGTAAGTGCAGTTGGGGTGGCATTCATTTCCTTCCCAACTGATTTCAAAACTTTTCAATTAAGTGTGTATTTAAAAATAGAGCGGAAATTATAACAAAGAGACAACAGAAAGGAAAGGATCCATGTCCTTTTTGCCTTTCCTTTATCCTTCCAATTGGGGAAATGCTGTAAATGTGAAGACCATGGATAAGCTTGTCACGGGCTTCTCCATCAAAATTCTCCTCGAGTGTCCGTTGTGGCGAAGGAAGGCTCCACAGTATATGAGTCAGGGATGATACCCACTATTGGCACCCACCCTGCTGATCTCAATGTGGAGTGGGATATGTGTTTATCTCGAAACACCACAGTGGAATAAATATAAAAAAAATGGATTTGAAAACTTGTTCAAAACAAGTGAGGAATCTAACGGTGATTTCGATGTGAATATATATATATATATATATATTCATATTTATTAAGGAAATTATCCTCTGACTGACTAACCCTTCATCCCCTTCCTTCCAAGAACAACAAGTCTCCAAAAACAGTACCCATTAATATGTGTTGATATGGGTTGTTATTGTTGTGTGTTTTGACTCAGGGTCCATCCCAGTTTGGTTTTCACACAATTGCAATTTATCTGATGGGAGAATGAATAATAACAACAAATGCATATCTCTGATTCATCTCTTTTTCAGTCGTGTGTGTGTGTGTATATATATGCTTCTTGTTTGTTTGTTTGTTTGATGGTGGGGGAGTGTATTCACTCACTGAATGGGAGAGAAGGGAAGAAAGGAGAAGGAAAGATGGGAAGATATAATGCTATTAATAGTTGCCAAATGGGGCTTATTCAGGAATATAGTGGTCTGAAAAATACCTGTTTGATGCAAAAGCTCCTCTATTAGATGGTTGCTCTATGGAAAGGGTTGATGTACACAAGCGGATGAATTTATCTACATGTATGTATTCATTTATTTATTTATGGATGAATGAATGAGTAAATGAGTTGAGTCAGATTGAGGCATATTCTTTTCTGCACGTTCCTGCCCCCCCCCCCCCCAACTTTTGACCACCCCATGATGAGTAGTGTGTACTTCATCAGGCCACCATGTGTGGAATTCAGGGTTGTGTTTTGAAATGGAAGTGGATTAGAAGGAAACAGATTTACAATGGAAAAAGAAAAAGAAAAAAAGAGATTTCTTCACTCTCACACACCCAGAAAGGAGAAATGATATGTTGTGTATGGAATAACCAATTTACAAAATTAAAGCATCTGTTGGATAAATGTTTGTAAATTGTATTCAATTTGAAATTTGAAAGAGTTGAATTCTTATTTTTATCATTTTTCCTCATATGTTCATTTGGGATGACCAGGAATATTCCCTTTCTGAAGTACTTAATCAAGATCAATGATAAGGCACACATGCACTGTTGAAGTTCACACTAAAAGGCACATGAAATAAATATATCATTAACATTAATTTCTATTTTAAAGAAGCATTGTTTCATAGGTTTCATTAACATTAATTTATATTTTCTGTAGAACAAATACTCACATGTAAGTGGAATGAATATACATACACACACACATGCACACACAACAAAAGGGCTGAGATCAATTCCAGTATCTGCACAAATGAAAATAAAACAAACAAGACAAAGAGAAATTGTGTGGTGATGATTTGAAAAATCCAATCTTGATGACCATGGTAAACTCACAATGCAAGCATTGGGAGTAATTAGTTTAGTAATACATTTATATTTGTGTATGTATGGAGTTATTATTTTCCACCTTTCAGAGTTCTCTCTCTCACCACCCTTGGGAAGGCGCCACCCTCTATTTCACCGCCCTCAGAATAAGCCTAGTCTTGGTTGCACAGTTCCTGATCCAAAACGCTACCTCTGTGTGTGTTTTGAAACTCATGGTATGCTGAGCTGAAACCACATGTCCCCCCAAATTGCTCAGCTTCACATAACTTAGATGTACCCCCAAATTTAGCGTCGCAAGGTGCTACGCTAACGCTGGAGGAGGGGCCTCCAAAGGTCTTGGTCCACTCCCCCAATTCTATTCACACCATTAAGTTACCCCCTCCTCACCTCATTCAATGCGGGCTTCCCTTTGTATATCTTGAGGTGGAGCAAAAACCGAGGCAGGATGTTTTAAATGCCTTGCATACGTAGACAGCAAGTCAACTTCAAGGCGTATCGTTACTGCCATAAATTCTCACCCCAAACTTTGAAGAAACGGATAATGCTGCGAAAAAACGAGGTGGTCGCATTGATGATCCTTTTCTAGAGAGGGAGAGAGACAGAGAGAGAGGAAATTCATTCATTTGGGGGTGTACAGACTCATCATTCTATCGTGTCAAAACTCCCAGTTTTGAAGAGACTGGGTACCTCTCCGTGTTGGCCCTCTGGAAGTCGGTTCCGTGCACCCTCTTCTTTCTCCACACCGTCGAAGCAAGTAACGGAGGATGAGAGATGATGGGGGGAGGGGAGAAGTCCGTGTCCTATTTCTGGAGTCATTGCGAGGGAGGGCTGTAGGTTTTTTCTAGGAAGCAACTTCAGAGTCAAAACGACCAAATTTACACAGCAGGCGAGAGGGTCTTCTGATGGATGTCTCCGGGTTGTTTCCTTTGTGTAGGTGAGCACAGGGGGGTCAGCACTCTAAGACTGCTCCACGGTTTAATTAGTAAAGGAGAGTGGGCGCAGCATGATGACTTGGAGTGGGAACGATCATGAGAATTCAGTTTGCCAATTCAGAGAAATACAAATTATACCATCAATGGCAAAATCCTGCTTATTGGTTGCTGGGTGCGGTACCACCGCATACAGATTCCAATCTAGTGACGAATGAATTCTTGCATAATGGGTGACAAGTGGGCACCGCCAGCTAGAGGTTTATGGACCACAGGCTGCTTTGCCATGTAGACTCCGCTGGTTGGACGTAAGCATTGGCCGCCACATTCAAATTTGGCTTGCGGGAATCTTTTTGTTGTATGCTTGGAAGAGTAAGTGTCCCAGCGTCGACAGATTCTGGTTTGTGAAGAAAGTCCTCCTCAGGAATACGCCACCTGATTATCATGTTCATTTTCCAATCCAGTGTCCAGTTGGTACAGCAACCAGTGGCCGAGAGCAAGTCTTGCTATTGGACACCGATTGAGTACCCAATCCAGAGCGCCTCTACGCAGGAATCAGTTGGAATCAGTTTAAAAGCAGCAAATTCTGATTTTGCTTTTCAATAGGTAAAATGTTTGAAGTCACGAGTCATTGATAAAATTGGGCTCCATCTGAAGATAAAATTGGCGCATGCCATTTGAAGAAGGGTGCAGAAGCTGAGGACATTCATCTCTATAACTGTCTGCAACAACTAGATAGGTCCAACTTCCAACTGCAATATGCTGACTTTCAAACCATGCTTTATCAAGAAAGGAACAAGAATCCCCTCCAGCAATGAATATCACTCAATCACCTTCCAGGACTTCGCACACGATCCCTTCTCTCAAGCTCACCATCGGCAATGGCAGAAGCTGGCTTACGGTCAGCGTGTTTCAGCGTGGTCGTTCTAAGCTGTAGGGGACAACTCAGAAACCAGATATCTTCTGTACTCTGCCAACATTGTGTATTCACTGAAGAGACATCTCATGGATTTGAAATGGGCTCGGGCTTCGTTGAAGGCGAAAAAGAAATTCCAAATTGCCAAGAGCTTGCCTCACAAGCATCTCATTGTCCTAAAAAGATAGGTTGTATCATTGATGCGATTAAAACTCTGCACATAATCAATCGAAAAGATCAATATCAATAAGTCCTAACCATTTTATCATGGAAAAATACAGTACTGCATATAGAAATTTCGTTATAAACAATGCGATGCCAAACTAAATAACTATAACCAAATTCTAGATTATCAGTTATACCATGTCTTAGCTTTCTTCTAAGCTTTTAAGGTAGAGCCTGTAACCCTCGCGATTACTAGGCCAGTGGAAATCGCAAATATAGGCACCTTGCAAGCAATACAACCTGTGAACGAATTCCCGATCGACAGCACAAAACATTGCCAAAATTGACGGCATGACCTAAAAATGTTGATGGCACGTCACTGAATGGGAGAAGGTAACGGTGTTTCACCTGCAGCAAAAGGACCATTTCAGCAGTTTGTAAGATCCAGATAGCATCAGGAGCAGTCGTGTATCGTCATAACTCACTTTTGTAAACTTGATCTAGCAATACTGATGACTCAGCATTGAATGTCTCCACGCCCACCTGGCTTTCCCTACGCAGATTACCCTGCTCCAGTAGTTATCATCAAAACAATTTGAAAAAGTTTAAAAAGAGAATACAGTTACAAATTAAAATAATTCCGCAAATCCTAAACTACCGCGCATGAGAAACAAGAGGTTGAAACTGAAAACTGAGCATTTTGAATAATGATCACTGAGAATTACAACTATTCTGGTTTGTGAATTGGATGCTTCATCTTCTTGAGTATTGACACAGTAAGTGGAAAGCTTAACCTATCCACAGAGAAGACCGAATATGTCATAATATCAAGCTTGGGATCATACTAACTGTCAGATAAATAACATACCAAGGTTTCATGTGTTGCGACCTTTAGGTCTCCACCAACTGGTTTAGTCCTTTCGGACTTCATCACTGCCCGAAGCAGATCTATTATGGCCCTGTCCGCATCACGCTCTCCGCCCTGATTCATCTGAGCTTGCTCCCCTTCCTTAATGTTGCAAGAATGCCCTTTGGAGTGACGTGTGGCAGAACCAGTTCCAAATAGAGCATACAACGATCATTCCTGCAGACCTCCATATCCGCCAGCTCAAGTCAAAATCAAAGTCAACAAAAAACATGCAGGGAATGGATAAGTTCATTTTCGTGTAAGTGAGAAGTAGTTTCATTTCTCAAAAACCAAGAGAACCCTAATCGAGCACCATTATATCTAGAGGTAACTTTCATTCAAAGTAATATGCATGAGCTTAATGGCGATGTAGTTTACTACTGGAGTGTGCATGTCAAAGTCTTTTATGTGAGCTCAAACAAAAATTTAACACTGGCGCATCTCATTTGATGAAGGAAGCAGAAGCTGAGACTATTCATCATTCGAACTGTTTGTAACGATCAGGAAGGTCCAACTTCCATCTGCGTTACGCTAAATTTCGAACCATGAAGAAGAGAACCAGTAAAATCCGTCCAGTAATAAATGTCATTCAATCACCTACCAGGACTTTGCGGATAATCTCTACCCTCAAGCTAACAAAGAATAGCGGCAAAAGCTGGCTTATGTTTGGAACAAATGCTGCAACAAGGGCTTGAAACCTACATAAAAAAAGAGACGAACTCTGCACACTACAACCAATTTCGGTACTTTTAGTATATTCAAAAGTGTCGTGTGCAGATATTCTTCTGTAGTTGGACTTCGAAATTCCCTGGTCGCCTCCAATTATTTTCCTCAAATCCTACCAAACCTCAATCCTCAATCCTCAATCCAATGAAAAACAACACACCGCTGTCTTTCAGACGCCGTCAAAAAACTCTTCGCCACTCGCAGTCCAGCTCCATGATCAAACACACGGCTTCTTCTTCTTCTTCTCCTTCACTCGGGATTGAGAGCACCACGCGGGTATGAGGGCACCTCACGGGGTAAGATAGCACCACGCGGGTATGAGAGCCCACGGCTGTAGGGCAATTCACCCCTATCTCCGTACACAATAATAATCGAGAGTGTCCGCGCATTAAAGGAGGATGGATTCAGGATGCGACATTAGTATAAGGTAAGAGCAGGGAAATATAAATATAAATATATATATATATATATATGAAAAGAAAAAGGAAAAAAAACTCTTTGACTAGGTCTCAAGTGCAACTGAAATGTGTCATCAAACACTTGTAACTAATATTGGTGTGTGTGTATATATAGATAAAGCAAACAATCTTAATTACAGTATTTTGACCTTGATTGCAAGAAATTTTATTAATTTGATATATTTGAATAGTAACTATAAATAATATTTTGAAGTGTGTTGGAATTATTTGAGATTTGAAAATATATGTCAAGAGTGTGAAAACAATGAACCAAATAATCAAGAAATTAAAGAAAAATAAGATGTTAAACTAAAAAACAGGACTAGATACATAATAAAAATATAAGAAAAAAGAGAAAAGAAAATGAAACCTTCTATAGCATTCTTAACAAGATTTGAATGTTTTTAATTTTTAATTTCTATTTTTTTTGTGTGTGTGTGTGATTTTCTTTTGTTTGTATTATAATAACTAGGTTGTACAGAAGTTTCTAAAACAAAACTATAGGTCCTTAAAAACTACTAAACAATAATAAAAGTTTTTAGAATCTTATTAAAGGTCTTTAAAGTTTTATAGAAAATAAGACATATATTTGTAAAGTTTGAAAGATTCTAGAATTCTACAAAAGATATTTAATGTAGATACTTTTATAAGATAAATGTGTATACTAGTGTATAAATTAACTAGTTTATTTTTACCTCTTTTAAAACTTCTCACTTCTAAAATTACAATTCACATTCCAAACACAAAGAACTTACATATTTAATATGTCCAATTAAATTCTCTCTAATTTGTACTTGTGTGTTACAATATATAAGTACTAAAATTAAATATTAAAAAAATTATATTTGAAAGAAAATATAAAAGTTTTCACATACAAACTTTTGTAATTATCCAAATTTATACACCAACCAATTGTAACATGTAATATTTTATGCTTATTTTATAAAAAAAAATAATTTAGCATCAATTGTTTTTTAAGCACATATTTTTTAAACAAAAATATTTTGACCATAGAAATTTATATTTTAAAATTATAATAGTTAAATACACTACAAAGAATCCTATAGCCATGTATATATTCATAGTCTTTTTGCTTGGATTCTCTAGAGTTTAAATATTTATTTTTTAAAAAAATAATATATATATATATATATATATATATATAATTTTAAATTAATTTTTTTCTATTTGATTTGGAAAAATTCATTGTCTTCAAATCACTGCAGAAAAGTGATTTGATTTGCTCAAAAGACATTATTATATTTCCATGTTAGTCAATTACTTCAATTATTTACAATCGGCTCAAATCCAAAATTGGAATCTATTTTATTTAAATATCAAAGTAGAAGAGATAACTAATGCACTTGATTCATCTCCTTATTCTTCTAAGTAATTTTAGCTTCTTCAAAATATTCTTAGTATTTAGTAACCTTCATTCTTATGTTCAAATATTCATAATAATTTAAATGTATAAATTTTGCAACTCTACAATCCTAAGTTCTTTATATATATATATATATATATATATATATATTAATTAACAAAATTTAAAGCCAAGACTTGAAGAAATCCTTGACACTTGAGATTTTGTTTATGTAACTTCTCAAAATTATCTCAAACATAAAATTTTCTTCTTAGATCTTCTAATCTTTAATATCAAGATTAATTATCAACTTATTTAAGAATTAGTATTTAAATTAGAAAATAATATAGATAATATATTTGAATTTGAATAAAATATTCTAACAAAAAAATAAATGCAATACTAAAATCACTATAGTATTATATTCAAAATAACCTCAAATACTGCTAAAAGCTTGAGACTTATTTTCTAAGTAATATACATAAGAATAGCACGACAATTCTTTTTTTGTAACTAACTCTTTAAAAAAAAACTAAATTGTTAGTGAATTTATATTTCTAAAAACTTATCACATTTTTTTTAAAATTTTATTATAATTTATTCAACTATTAAAAGATTTACAAGTTTATCAAATCAACAATTAAAATCACAGCTACTCATAATTAATAAACTCATTGTAATAACTCAGTTTAATGTGGGGTCTTTAATTGTTTTTTTAAAAGTAGCCTATCAACTACCAAGTTTGATGCTATTAACTCATGGATCTTCTAATATATGTTTTCTTTTTTAATACATGAAATAGATTAAATGATTAGATTTGTTTGATAATCTAAAAATTGATAAAAATTAAAATTAATTTTATTCAATATAATAATTGCAATTAGTGGTGAAGATATTTTCTTTTATAGATTTCTTGCAAGGTGGATGCTTAAGGTGGAAACTAACTACAAGTTGATAATAAATAATTATAAGTGAATTTAATCTTTGATAGTTTAATTTCATAATAGTATTTTTTATATTTTATATTTTTTATATTTTTTTCTAGAAGAAAATACATATAAATTTCTATATTTAATTCAAAATTAAAGATCTTTATATTAAATTGCATGTCTTTATTATTACTATTTTTTAAATATAAATAAAATAAAGGTTTATTTTGGATAATAATTAGTCTAAGAATCAAATATTTTGATATTAGGCTTCCAACATCTTTTATTTTTTAAAATACCTAAATATAATAATAAATTTATAAAATTATAGATTTTTATTTTTTTAATGAATACATATTAATATTGTGATCAAATTGTACGATTGGTAGGAAATATATGCAATCATCTTATTAATATTTTATGTTGCAACAAAGATGTTGCTTCAAAATTACATTCTTTAAATCCAATTTTACAACACACTCTTAGATAGTTTGATGTAGAAAGAATAATTTTGATGTTTTTGATATTAAATGTTTTACTAAGGATTTAAAAAATTAGTTCAAATTTTTAATTACAATAGTATTTTAAAATGTTTTAATAAATTTAGTAGATACTGCAATATAATATATATATATATATATATATATATATATATATTTAAAATAATACTTTACATAAGATAAAGTAAGCCAATATTATGAAACAATCTTCTATCATCTAAATTAGATCTTTATTTTTTGAGATTATGATTTTTTCAATAAAAATTAGTAGTATTAAAAAATTTTATCAAAAACTATTGAAAAAAACATGTAGTTGACATTTTGGAGTATAGTTATTTTTATATATATGTCAAAATATTAGATAGTGTATATATATATATATATATATATATTTGTATTCACTAAAAATAATTCTAATAAAAATGTATATAACTTATTATAAACTTAATAAAATGACTAAAATGATATTATCATTTATATTAGATATTTAGATTCTTTGACTAGTAAAATTATCACAAGATCTATTTCAAAATTAATATTTAGAGGTTACAAAATCTAATACATAAAAAAAAAGACATATTATAAAATTTAAAAATTGAATGTAGATATCTAAAATATATTTTCATGCATGAAATTTATTTAACATCATATCTTATTGATGACTTTATTTTGTATTAATTTTTTTATAATACTCTTTAAGATAAAAAAGCAAAAATAGAATCATTAACTTCTCCTTAAACTTATTAAGAAACAAAACATGTAAATCTAGTATTAAAACAATATATGCATTACATCGTTAATTTCTATCAAGAAAATCAAACAACTCTGATGCCATTAATAGAATATTTATAAGATAGTACAATAAATTCTTATACATATATAATAATTATTTTTTGTCAAATAGCCATAAATAAAATATTTAAAGATTTTAAATGCATAACATTACTATTTAAAGGTATCTACAATAAAACAATTTGTTGTTATTATTAATCATTTTTTAAAATTATTTTCGATTTAAAAAAACAAAATAAAAGAAAAAGAAACACAAGTGATTAGAAGCAATGTAGTGGTTGCCTCATCTATGGGTCATTTCTTCCGTACTGGAATTAAATTATTTAGAATAAGCATCTATTTTTTTTTTCAAAGTAGCAGTTTACAATCACTTTATTAATTATTTAAGAACATGTATTAAAATAAAAATTTACTTATTTTTCTCTTTTAAAAAATGGCTTGTTTACAACAAAACTTAAAAGGATGCACAAGAACATAATAACAGTAAATTATCTTTAAAAACATTAAAAAATTAAAGCAATAACTATTTTTAGACATTCCAATTTGGATAAAAAATTGCAACAGATGCTTTGTTGGAAAGAACCTGATAACGTATTTTAAAAAACCACTCATCCTTTGATTTTTATTTAAAATTTCTAGCTATAAAGTGATGGAATTTTCCACTTCTACTTTTACTTTTACGTTTTCTTCTTGTTTCTCATGGAGGAATTTAAGCTCATGGCGTTTTGGGTTTTAATGGGCATCACATGTTATTAGTAGTGATAGAACTGCGCTGCCAGGAGCAATTCCAGGCGGAATGGGCGTCCGCACCGCCGCACCTCTCCAACTGCCTCGTTCCGCGGGACGACCACCACCGTGACGAAGACACAACAGTGGCGACGATCGTCCATTCTGCATCGTCTACAATGACGACGATCGTTGCGAAAAGGGACGGAGTATTGGCGGCGACCGTCGCCGTGAAGGGAGGGAGGGGATTCAGGGCTCTTTTGTTGTTGCAGCGGAAGAGAAGGGACCATCGACATAGCCAGAAGCTTGGCTAGCAGCAAGCAGGTAAGGCTTTGGAGAGTAGCGAAGGGAGAGAGAGAGAAGGCAGTGGGATTTGAGTGAGAGACGGCCTCGGCGAGACTGCAGAATACTATCTTTAGCGTTTGTAAGGGGGGCCTTCTTTGGCGTCCTGTGATGCTTTGCCTGCACTCCCCTCTTCCCCGTCTTTTCCAGCTGTGGTCACGCTTGATTTTGCTGCAACCAAGTTAATTACTTTCTGCATTACGCCTCAGTAATGTTTGCGGTCGCGGGATTCACGTTCTGGAGTTTAGTTTTGAGGGCAGAAGGAAGGTGATGACGTGATTTTAGTGACGAGGTAATGATGTCAGGGCTTGATCGACAGTGTTCGAGGGGGATTTGAAGAGATTGTGTGAGGTGGACAGGGAGAGAGAGAGAGAGAGAGAGAGAGAGATGGGGATGAGATGACGTTGAGGTTGCGGGGGATTTAGATCGAGAGGGGAACGGAGGCAGATGGAGCACAAAGGCATGGTGTTGAAGGGAGGGCAGGGATTAGGGGGTGGACCTGGAGGATTGTTGGTGAACCAAGACGAGGCGTTCAAGACGGTCTTGGCGACGGCGCAAGACGGAATGGGAGGGTTGCACGTGGGATCGGAGGACGGGAGAAGAGCTGGAATTGTGGATGGCGTGCCGCCCGAGGACAATCTCGCCTCAAGCATCACACGCCAGAAAGTTGCTGCGGCGAAACAGTACATTGAAAATCATTACAAGTCGCAGATGAAGAGCTTGCAGGAACGGAAGGAAAGGTAGTAGATTATTCCTACCCCAGTTTTACTCGTCACGGCTTGGATTTGGTTTTGCGGCGTGCAATCTATGACGAACTCGTTCTCGACTTCTATCTCCATTTTCATGTTTCTAAGCTATTTGGCTCAGATAACCTACCTTCCTCTCCTCCATCGCCAGTCTGTAAATTTCGAGATTAACGGTCATCAATAGGCGAGGGAATGCCATTTATGAATACACGGAATGTAGTCATGGATACTAGGGCTCGTGAAATCAATCACTGCACCGCGTAGATCATGGTCGTTTGTTTATTTTAGAAGTTTGTTGCGGAAGTTTGAATTCTTTATTTCGAATCTGAGAATCAAGTTAGTGGTAGCACCAGGATCTGACTTGGTGCAATCTGTATTCCTGGTAGATATGTGACGTAGTGATCTATTTCACAATGTCAGCAGGAACTTAAAATTATAAACTGTTGAAGTGTGAAATAGGTGCTTTTTGACTGGAACTCACATTTCTTCTGAAGCTCAAGTTCCGGTTAACGTGGGAAACTTCTTTTAAACTGATCAAATAGTCATTGGTTACATGCTCTGATGGAACCCTTCACAGGAAGAGTGAAGTTCGAACACTTTTCGATTCAGAGAGATCGAATTCTTGTTGTCTTGGTACCAAAGATTCGTTACATATCAGTTTTAGACATGCATGGAATCAGATCCGGCAGTTTATGCTCAAACTCGATGACCTAAGTTTCCTTCAGTGCTCGCACGCAGATCTGTATTAATTATGCCACATGCGACTTGAGTTACTCAGCTCGCAGCTGAGCCATGTCGGTAGATTGGTAAGTCACTAGGTTGGCGGTGCCTGCACCAGGTTGCACGTTGGAATTCTTCACAGATTTCAATTTTAAAATCTCATACTTATTTATTTATTTAATTATTGTACATGATCTTCTTTGGTATTAGGAATTGAGAGCTCGTTTTCAGTTTCTTTACCTGAGATTTGGCTACATTACAGAGCTTCATTCGACCCATGAAACCCTCCAAATTTGTCCGATTAGAGGACATGTCTTTCGCAGCTTTCCATTGAAGCAACACTTTTCTTCTTAAAACCACGTGCACACCCTGAGTTTTGCAAGAGATTTCCGTATCAGGGAATGAACCTACGAACTCCTTCATTTTTTGTATCGACTGGCGAGGGTTTCATTATTATACTTCAGGGAGGATCCAGCTCCTGTGAGTATTGAGTCGTTGCTGTTTCTTTCATCGACAGGCGCTGGACCCTGGAGCGAAAGTTACAAGATGCCGATGTGTCTCCAGAGGATCAGCACCACTTAATAAAGGATCTGGAGCGTAAAGAGACAGAGTTCATGCGGTTGCAGCGTCATAAAATGGGTGTGGAGGATTTTGAGCTTTTAACAATCATTGGACGAGGCGCCTTTGGAGAGGTGCATGTCTATTGAAGGGCACAATATATGCATATATTTTTGACGACTGATGGACATTACAGGAGAGAATGGTTTTAAATGACATGGGATCTTTTGGAAGGGCAACTTGGCTCAATCAAATCCTCTCTCTCCCAGCCTTCTCAGTGTCTCATGAATGAGTCTGAGTTATGAGTGATTTGATACTGACTAAATACACTGGATACTTCTGAAAGTCCCGGGGTGCCGCGTAGAATTTTGCTAAGAGGCTTTTGTTTACTGTAAAATGTGGGGCTGCAGGTAAGACTCTGCAGAGCAAAAGCCACAGGCGAAGTTTATGCCATGAAGAAATTGAAAAAATCCGAGATGTTGTCAAGAGGGCAGGTATGTGATGCTTAACTTCATTCTTCACAATGGAGAACCACGTCTTGGTAATATCTTCTACTTAGTGTTTAATATTTCTTGTTAACAGGAATGATCTGTAAGCTGAAGTTCATTATGAGAGGTTTTGGATTTGATTCGTCTTGTTATTGTTTATGAGCCTAGTCATATTTATGTGCTAAGTTCAGTTGGTTTGCATTTTCTACAACTTCTTTTTGAGCCAATTGGTAAGGTGTAAATGATGGATAAGCCCCGGAGTCATTTCCTCCGGGTTTAAGGCTACATTGAGTTTTGAAGTGGATTTTTAATGTTGTATTGGTTTGTTTGGATCATGTTTCTGATCAACACCAAAACAGGTTGAGCATGTGAGGGCTGAAAGAAATTTGCTGGCAGAAGTGGATAGTCACTGTATCGTGAAGCTCCAGTATAGCTTCCAGGACTCTGAGTACCTATACCTGATCATGGAGTACCTTCCTGGAGGTGACATGATGACGTTATTAATGCGTAAGGATACCTTAACAGAAGACGAAGCTCGCTTCTATGTGGCACAGTCCGTTTTGGCGATTCAGTCTATCCATAAGCACAACTACATCCATCGGTTAGCTCTGATCTTCGAAACCAAGTGTTGCTTTTACACATTTTGGCAAGCATGAAATACTATTATTAGCGTTATTGGTCCTGGCCACCTGCACTAACCATCTTCGATCCAGTTTACACAGAGTATGGTTTGACGTGGTGCCATTTCCTATACTTGTTGTGTCAGGGACATCAAGCCTGACAATCTGTTACTGGACAAGAATGGGCATATGAAACTATCTGATTTTGGATTATGCAAACCTTTAGATTGTAGGGCCCTATCAACGTTGCATGAGCATGAGCCCAGTACTGATGAGGAATACCGGGAGCCTATGGACGTAGAGAGTGGGCGTCTACAGCCTTCCTCGCGAGGGCTGCCAAATCGTAGTCAGCAAGAGCAGTTGCAGCACTGGCAGCGTAATCGGCGGATGCTGGTACAAACTCACTTTATCTGGATAGTTTTGGATGAGTGTCGCCTTTTCATGATGATATTTGTGATAGCTAGAGAAACATATATATATATATATATATATATATATATATATATATATTGCTGTAAAAAGGGAGTGGCTATTAGCAAAGTAAATATGTTATGCTTCGTGGATCTGTAGGGTCTCATTCTTTAGCTTGCAGTCTTAATTTCACTATAATATTGAATCGTGCTTGTTGCTATGTGAAGTAAATTTTTTGAGCGTTGTTACGTTAAGCAAAGTTAGCTCTTATCTTTTAAGACGTGGTACATATTGCTACTTGTGTGGCTTCATGTTCCGAGCTAATACGTTTGTAAATAAATTTAGGCATATTCCACCGTTGGCACACCCGACTACATTGCACCTGAAGTGTTGTTGAAGAAAGGTTATGGCATGGAGTGTGATTGGTGAGTACTTGCCTTCAGCTTTTGCTATCATATCATCAGAAGGGGGGACTACCTATGTAAATATTCTTGTTGTATCTGCGGAAGAAACTGCCTTTCATCTCTAACATTTTCGAAGATTGTTAACTACCGGATTATATCTGAAGTTTTAACAGAATATCTTTTGTAAAATGACCTTTTCTGTGATGATGATGTGATGATTACCTTTACAGGTGGTCACTTGGAGCCATCATGTTTGAGATGTTAGTTGGTTATCCACCTTTCTATGCGGATGACCCTATGAATACATGCAGAAAGGTTTGTACTCCCATGTTTTGACAACTTTCGAAACTTACCTTGTAATTAGTTTATTGGTGATCACTTTACACAATATTTATTTGTTTGGTTTGAGCTACTGTGAGTTGTTAGATGCAAAGTTTATTCTTATCCTGAAAAGGGGTATACTTCATGTCCTACTTTATTCAAGAACTGTAATTCATTTACGATAGTTGATTCGTGTTGTGCAGATAGTAAATTGGAGAACATACCTCAAATTTCCAGATGAGGCTAAGTTAACACATGAAGCCAAGGATTTGATTTGTCGACTGCTCTGTGATGTAGAGCATCGTCTAGGGAGTAGAGGTGGAGATGACATCAAGGTGAACTTTCTTTTATTAGCTTGCTAGGTATTCATTTTTGTGATGTTGGCCGAGTTGATAACCACAACTGCAGCTCTCAGGTTCGTTGATCTTGCTGGTGATGTGATAATATACCTTCTTTATTGAATTTGATCTAGTTGATAGAGGTGGACTATTTGGTTTGGTCGGAATGTATCAATGAAGTCGTTTATGAATTGTTTTGTTATCTAGGCGCATCCGTGGTTCAAAGGGGTTCCATGGGACAAACTATATGAAATGGAGGCTGCGTACAAGCCAGAAGTTAATGGGGAACTTGACACTCAAAATTTTGAGAAGTTCGATGAGGTACGTTTTTCTACTATCTGGTTTGGGTGTCCAATATTTTGTTATCCTTCATCGGCAGCGCAAATGTCCCTGTTGGATTTTCAAGAGATTGCGACGTGTTAGGATCGTGTTCAAAGCTGACAAATTGGATGATTTATCCGAGTCCGTCACTTTTCTTTATGTGCTGCCATATGTGCCATATTTATATCGGGTTGAATATCTTCGTTGTTTGTGATTATTACAGGTGAATTCTCAGCCTCATGCTTCAAGATCAGGACCTTGGCGGAAGGTAACTTAACTTATTCGTTCCATTTCGAAATTTTCAATGGACATCTTATGAAAACTGATCCCTCTGAAAAGATAACCAGAGATGCTTCTTTTTGATATTTACTTGGTTGGGATATCGATTTGGTCAGAACTTAAAGTGCTATTTTTTTTCTGTTTTGACCGAATTTTAGCTTGTTGAGCTTGGAATTCAACTTCTTTGAACGATAATTTTGATTGGCGATTAATTTGTTTATGTCGTACGCTGCCGATTTTAAGGAATCTCACGTTAATTTTGGATTCCTTCAGATGCTGACTTCCAAGGACACAAATTTCGTGGGATATACGTTTAAGAACTCGGATGTGTTTAAGGGGATGATGAACTCGCCAATTGGTACGAAGCCTCATTAAATCTCAGTACATCTTAGTCTTCTGATGAGGGGCTGGGTCTTGCAAAATATCAGCCTCTCAATATGTGTTATCAAATACAAAAATAATTTATTTGTTTTGGTGAAGCGATTACGGTTGTGCTGACATTTTATTGCTACGTTTTCTGAGCAGCGGAGCTCAAGAAGAAACCTCAGCCCAAGAGACCATCCATCATATCTCTCTTTGGTAGGTCACTAGTACCTCTATGTCGACCATTGCTCGGACCTTCTTATTACCACTAGAGAAAGCATTGTTGGTTTGGGTATATTGAAAGTTATTTGCAATCTGTTACTTACGACGCCAGTAATATGTGTCCGCAGATCATACAAACGTTGGTGCAGTATCCAACGGTGAGGAGTCTGGTGACACACACTTTGACGTCGCAGCTGGCCAATCTGATGAATCAAATTCATCATCCTCACTACGTAAACCTCAAAGCAGTAGATGACGGATGTTCGATTCAGGTGGTTCCAACCTATTTTCTGAGAATCTAACTATTCATATCTAAGGACAGTGGAACTAGAGCCCGTATATTAAAGGTATGTGTCTGGTATATAGCTGTAGTGTTGAGGATGTAGCGTTGACGGGTTTATATTCTTGAATACTGGTTGGTTTGGTAAATAGTTCGACATTGTCTGGATGGTGTCTTGAAGAATACAGTCTTGCCACGCTAAAAACTTGTGCCTGTTTGATGTATGCGATGTACAACAAGTACCATCATGAAGTAATATCAGATATCCGAGTATAGGCAAAGACCTTGGGTTAGAGTGACGAAGCGCTCAAACTAGGTGTTCAGTAAAACATCCAGTCATATTACTGTAAACCATCCTGTCGATGATTTGTTTTCACCGAAGATCTATAAGCTTTACTCCTGTGGATCATGACTTAAAGCCTTGCCATTAAATTCTATCGATTCATGACTCTACGAATGCCAAAAGCTGCATGTCAAGAATTTTTCTATTCAAAAAAATTATTTTCAGCAGTTCAGTTTTTCTCTAACCTTTCCCACTCATTGGATGAAGACAATCGTGAACACTGGGAGGGAGGGAGGGAGGGAGGGGGCGGGGGGGGGGGGGGGGGGCTAGATTTATTTTTCCACTTCAGCATCCCACCACATTACTGGCAGTAGCCTGCGTATATAAATTCTTTGTCAAAGTCGGACAATTCAGTAGGGACACGACGATCATTCGATTGTTACTCTATCCAATCATAATCCAACTTGCAAGATCCAGTGTTGCGCCATGAGTACCTTTGTGGTGGATTTACTATGCAGAAATGAAATCATCGCCATGGAGAATCTGGCCTACAATAGCCCAGAGATACATAAATCGACTTTTAATTCTGGGTGTTCGATTCCACTTTGCTGTATGTTTCGTCCAATTTGCTACTGATGGGGTTTTCAAAATTCAAAAAATTTAAATTGTCGACTAGTCTTTCGGATTTTGGACTTCAACTGACCAAATCCTGCTATTCTTTTAGTCACAATGAATTTGCGCAGAAGTGCCTTCAGCAACTACTCTTGAGGGGTCGAAGCAAAAGCAGGCACTGATGGAGGTGAGAAAACAAAACTTTCTAGGTTCTTCGAGATGCAGTCGATGTAGAGTTGATGATTCAAAGAAATACTCGACTTGCATCAGATTTGGATCTATTAAGCACTGCTGCTGCTTTCATGTGGCGTAATTGGGTAAACGATTTACCATTTTCTTTCAACCAAAATCCTCTACGCTAGGTTTACTTTTCTGACCTAATTCCTGGTTCAATGTCGTTGGTTCCGAAATACATGAACGAAATTTGTTCGTCGGAAGTCGTGTTGAGGCGAGCAGAACGACCGTTACATTTAGGTGGAGTGAGTGAGAGAGTGAGAGAGTGAGAGAGAGAGAGAGCTGTGACAAGTATTCACGGGAATATGACTTGAGACCTATTGCTGTTGTGCAAAGGATTCGGGCCAGTGGGAACCATGCGGTCGGATTCAAAGTGCGCCGACGTCGATCTTCGGGGAATGCCGGACTTGGCAGGTGGAGGATGATCGCTTGCTCGAGTTCGTGGAGGTCGATCCGCGTCGGGGTTTGGTCTAGTGGCAGCACTCAGGGTAGTTTTTCTTTTTGCTCTGCAGACGACGCGTCTCTGTTGCTCACCGCAAGGGGACAGGACGTCGCGTTGGATTAATTTCCGCGTCCGACGTTGTCTTTGGCTTCCACCCCGCAGCATGGTAAGGCTCCATGCACCGTCGGTGAAGTACTCGACATCACTCGCCTGCGGAAGAAGGGCAATGGATTAGTCTATTGTAACAGGATTTAGTCGCTAATTTTGAATATTAACTTACCAGATGAGGACTAACTGGCCTTCGAGACCGTCGTCACGACATCACTTGCTACACGCTTTCTAGATCCAATTCAGCAGGGTCGATTATGCTTTTTGTCGTGAACCTCAATGCTACATGGCTGCGGCATCTTTCGCATCGATTTAGTGGAGGCACCGCAGCTATGACTAAGGATTAGTGCAGAGGAAATTCTCGGCCATGGCGTCTACATTCAGTATGAATCGTATGAGATTCAATGGCAAGCGAATGCGGCTGCGTACCTTGGAGTTAGGGGGATTGCGCTGTGGGACTCCCCTCGCAATCGTAGCCTGTGGAACGTTTTTCAAATCTGCGTTCGTATGTCTCTCTGAAGATGCTGCAAAACCGGCCACAGGGTCACACGAAACTTAGACTTACTCTGAGCTATTAAGAAATTGAGTCTTGTAATATTTTTCGCAGCAATGCAGTATTCCTTGGGATGAACCATCTCGTAGCTAGAACATGCTCTTCACACAGACAGAGATCGTGATGTGCCAGGTAGACAGATTTGCACTAAAAATAGGCGCAGGCGCAGTTTGCACTCGCTTCCTACACTATCAGCACAATAAGGTGCACAATATTCCCACGGGCAGCCAACCACATGATCGTGAATCGGGATATCTTGGCGTGCAATTCGCAGCAGAAAGGGGTTTAAGAGCATTTTGTTCATTGAGATCTAAAGCAGTTCACCCGCAGTCATCTTTGTTCAAAGGGTGCAAAGCAAACCTCATCTCTCAAGTATTGCTGCGCAGGAGGAGTTTCCTGACTTTTGCGGCCTCAGACTACACTGAACTGAGAGAATGCGGCAAGCGATTTCATAACCATGATTAGAAGTCGATAAAGGGAGCATGGCTTACCTGGTGTGGATTGGAAAAGAGGTTGACTGAAGGTGATAAGCGCGACTAATGTGAGAACTAGTAGTAGTGCAAAACTCCAGCTGACCGCCATCGCGGATACTATACCTCCACACTAACACGAAATTGCAAATGTCTGACATGCAACTCCTCCTCTTCTAGTGCCGAACCTCAGAAGTCACGTTGGTCACACGAAAGCAACAACCGTTTCAATCTCGACTGCCAGATTGAGATTTAAGTATAAGGATAACAATTCTCCTCGACTCCTACTGCTGGAAGTGCAAGCCGGATTCATGCCAACACAGAGCGGCTCGTGGAACTAACGCTGGCGGATCCTCAGTCCGTAATTATGCTACAGATCTGGTGTGTAAATGTTGCCTCACATTGAGACATGCAGCGTCTGAGGCCACGCTTCGGCATGATGCTTTAAGAAACGACGTCATCAGCTCAGCATCGTTGCTGCCAGAGTTGCGGGCTGCGCACTTGGTACAGTGACAAAATCGGGTCATCGCCCGACCAGATGCCTCCAAGTGCACCCCACTAGAATTTGGTACCAGCAGTACGCCTGACACAAAAATCGTATATCACACATGCACTGGAGAAAAGGAGGGAGAAAGGGAGGTAGGGAGGGAAGTTGTCATTCACGTAATGCAACGTCCTAGATTACACTGGTTGCAAAATTTTCACGCGCGGCGCCAGCCACCACAACCGATCGCAAATTCCAGGCACAGAAATTAGCAGAGACCATCGAGCACATGAGAACGTGTGTCTTGCATATTTTGTGGCAGTGGCAAGTGCAACATCAAAAATATGTGAGACGGGGACGCGGCATCTAACGGGCACCACTGGCACTGGCAGTGGCAGCAATCTCCAGAAGCAGTGCAACCTCAGTGAGTACTTGATCTTCTTTTGATAAGCAACTTCATCTTCCCCAGAACCGAAACAAAACAAAAAGATCCCTTTCCTCCTCTCTGCACTTCAGTTTAGAACTACCCCTGGTGATATATCGGTACAGATTGCAGTTCCGTATGCTCTTTCTCATTTCTACATGATTCTACTTCCATACGCAATATCTGTAGTAACTCTGAAGAGATAGTGATGGAGATGGTGCCATGTACAGCAGCCGGCAGTCGCCAACAAAGAGGAGGAACGGCATGAGGTACAGTCAAAGTGTGAAGACTAATCATAAAAACATGGACCACCTCGTTCTTCTCCCCTCATCACAGGATTGAAGGTGGCTATGGTGGCTCTTGTGGGGATTCCTCGAAGACCCTCTTCGGCCCCCAGGATGTTTGTGTGAAGCTTTGCAGGCAGCCACAGATCGATGCAGCAACGGGAGAAGCCCTGGGATTGTGCCTTTGTGTTGATGCTTACACAAAAGGAGCTCAAGTGTCTGCAATCAATCAATCACAGAAGGGGAGAGGGGAAGGGGCTGCCAGCAAACAGCCCTCCATGAAAAAAGATGAGGATAGCGGTGATGACAATGATGATGTTTTTATGTGCCACACACAAACCAGGGCTAATTTGCGGGACTCATGTGGCGATACCGTAATGCTCCCATGAGTGCCATTTGTGAGATTCTACTACAGCAAAAGGCTCCTCGTTCCAGGGCTCAGAAACAAGACTTCTGTGAGTTTTTTTTTGTCACCCTTCCCATGCTTCTTTTTCTATTCAGTACCTGCTCTCTCCCCTTCTGGCTCTCGTTCCTTCTGGGTTATAAACAGAAGTGATTGTAAACATTGAAGGTGAGATTCTGCATTTTAAACATATTCACTCCTTAAGTGCAGTTTTAACACCATTCTCTCCAACCCAAGTAGGAAATGGAGAGAAGATTTTATGATCCATGTAGCCCTTTGTATTTTGTTCTTGGTTATGGATTTGGCTACCTCATAGCCCCCCATTCATCATCTCATCATCAAGCTGGGCTCCACAGTTCAGTTCTCACATCAGCTTCAAATTGAAAATCTCAGAAACTAGATTTGCAGAATGGAAAAAGCACAAGATTTCCTGAAGATCCCACAAATAAGAGCGTTGATCTGATTGGGAATATGAATGTGACTGCAGCAGCTACTAGATTGTCCACCCTTGAAAGGAAGGAAAAAGCAGTGACTGTCATTGGATTACTTTGCACACATTTGCACATTACACATGTATATGTATATACATGGGTAGATTGAAATACTTATACGTCTGTTTTGTCTTTATTTTATTTTATGTGTATTCATAATTTTATACCAATAAGAGGGTATAGAGGATTCAACTAATATTAGTGCCAAGTAATCTTATATTGTTTGTTGAAGATTCTTCAAGCACATATTTTTGGTCAAATTTCTTTTAATTTTGGTGGTCGATTTTAGGTATCTTTGTTTATTGTTGGATGCCAAAGGTAGGGATAATTGCAGGTTGAGTGCTTTGAATGTAGCACTTTGTATTAATCTAAACCTATTTAATGAAATACATATTTAATTGTTTTAATTATAATGTGTATTCATTAGTAAATATTTTCCACTTTTATATTCTATAATTGAACATAGTTGATATTTTATTATTAATAATAATAATAATAATAGTAAATAATATAATTATTTAATTTTCATAAGTAACACTTTAAAATAAAAACTTATAATATAATTTATAGAGAGAAATAGTATAGTAAATACTAAAAATTATTAATAGAAAACATTTGTAAAAACTGTTTGTTAATTTAGATGCCATCATTTAATAATTTTAAAAAATTTATTCATCTATGTAGGTATATATATATATATATATATATATATATATATACACACACACACATGTATGTATACATAAATATATGACTTATCTTTTGCAAATAATTTTTATCAATAGATCACTTATATTATTGAATTATACATACATACATACATACATTTATTAAAATTTATTTAGATAATACACCATCATATGTATAATTTAAATAATGTAATTAAAAAGTAATCCAATCACAATCATACTTAAATATTATTTTAATTCATTGTAAGTTTAATATTACTATGATACTATAGAAATTAATGTTACTATGATTCTTTAAATTTATGCATATATCTATATATATATATATATATATATAAATGAAAAGAATTTAAAAATTTAAAAATTTAAATTTTAAAAAAATAATCAAATTTCAATACATGCATGTTCTACAATGACAATGTGAAATACATTGCATCACAACAGAAGTATCACATTGATCTTCTTTAAATGTAAAGAGTCTTTAAAATTAGTAATTACATTTTAAAAATCCTAAGTAAATTCTTAAGTATATATATATATATATATATATATATTTTAATGAATCTCTACAAACTCAAAGTATATAAATTTTAATAAGAATACATATGCTTAAAACATTGCCATATTGACATTAAATTCTATCTTATAATGTGTATAATAATAGAGGTCACGTTTCTTATCCTAAAGGTAAGAAAGCTCATGAGATGTTGGTGGGCGGTCCCTAGCATTTGTGTACTATATGGCATCTATTTGTATGCTTTGTGTGTAGTAGTTGAAAAAAGATATAAAAACTAAAAATAAAAAATTCCACATAATGTTAGGAAAACAAACAAGAAGATTATCTATATGGCTGTCTTCTAATGTTATAAAGTGTTAAGTAGATTTTTCGTGTAATTATATTATGCAACACACATTCACAAGTTATCAAATTAAATCAATAATAAAAACAACAAAAATATAAGCTTTACTTAATCAAATCTATAAATCTAATCTAATAAAATGTAATCAAAATTCTGACATAAAATAATGTATATACAATTTAAAAAAATTAATTTAAGTTTTTTTATACATTAATATGATTAAATCAACTTTAAATATAATAACCATGAGTGTATATGTAAATATATATATATATATATATATATATGTGTGTGTGTGTTCTAGTGGAAACTTGTGCTATTAGGCAGCCCAATTTCTAACATTATCATCCATCCATTCCCTTGTTCATGCATGATTCCTTGTTTCTATATTCCTTTATTCCAATGCATTTCTTTGTTTCCATCCACTCTCTAGTTTCAATGCATTTCCTCACTCCCATATATTTCTCTATTCCCATGTTCAACCAATGAAGAGGCTTTTTTATGTTTTAATCTTATTTCTAAGTTATTTTATTTAATAGATATTCATACACATACAAAATATATACAACATTTTTTTTTGTAAAATTTGCATTCTTGATTTTGTATACAATAATGCATATTTTTTTTTGTTTTATTTTAATATTTTGTATAATTTTTGAATCTTCTTTAGATTCAAAATAAGATACAAAGTGAAGAATAGAAGATTAAGTAAAAAAAGCTTTGAAAGTAAACAAAGGAACTATGTTTACATTGACCTTTTCAAATATAACACTATTGTTATTCTTAAATTTTAAAAATATTATTTCTAGTATTATTGAAGTCTTTCTTTTCATCTTCTTCTAGCATCTTTGATGAGAAATTTTATAGGAAGGTACAACCTTTTAAAGTTCATGCCATTTGATTTTCATAATTGTTCTCCAACCTAATGCCTCAAATTGAGTGGGAGCTTCGAATTTCATTGGAAATTGCACTTGCTTTTCGACAAAATTTTCATGTTTCATAATGCATTTCTAGTGATTCATCTATAAATATTCTTAAATAAAAAATATTTATTTTTATAAGAATTTTTTCCAAATTTTTAATTAGATTAAATTTTATATAACTAAAAAGCTTTTGTAAATCTATACTTGCAATCATCAAATACATATAATAATTTTATAAAATTGGTACTATCTTAATATATTTATATATGATTTTTTAAGGAAAAAAAGAACAGAAAAGAAAAGAAAAGAAAATTATAAATGTCTAATTCTATTACTTGTAAAAGTAAAGATTTTGATTTTTAACAAAAATAAATAAAAAAATAATAAATAATAAATTAAACTAGTGTTGTTTGTTTGTTTGTTTTTTTTTGTTACTTAGTTTTTAGTTTTTGCAAGCATGGAATTAGTACTAATTGATTGTTGTTGTAGAAAAAGAAGTACAAATTACCTATCACTTGTAAAAAAATGGGCACCACTTTAAAGTGGATTTTAAGGTGGATTGTTGTTGTAGATAAAGAAGTACAAATTACCTATCACTTGTAACAATCCACCTTGTTGTGTGTGCTTAAGCTTATTTAACAATGTATCATAGTCAACATACGAGTATTACCAATTCATGAAGGGGGTTGGGATCAGGTCCTTTAAAGTGGATTGCAATTGACACGGTTACACTAAGTGTAATTTATTATCTGTAATGACATATTAAATACAATCCCTCTTAGTTAAAACTGCTTCACAAATGTGTACAATAACATTCATATACAAATGAATCAATAAGCAAACATAACGTTGATGGATCTTAGAATGGCAATGGATTGAGTGGACCTCAGAAACCTCAAAAGTCACTCACTTAAACAAAGACTGAGGCAACGATCAGACTTGCAACTTATCGTGAACACCCACCTTGAAAATCTTAAAGTACTCGTTACAATACTGGTTTGTGAGACATGTTTTATGAAGCAAAGTTTATGAAGCCCTTCTCATTCAATTACTCACAATTTGAGAGTGGAATAGTCGTGAGATTGCTTCAGCTAACACCAACTTTGTACGTTATTTATTACTATTATATTAGATCTCAATCAAGAAATAGAAACACCGCCTCTTCTACCAGGACCCTGAGACCCTGATTGTATGTAGGTACTATGAAATGCAACCAAATTGCACATGAATACTGAGTAGAATGAATCAACCATGAAGTTTTTGTGTGTCAATTGAAGGTTTTGATGGATAGAGTTAAGAGCAGAAACACAAGCTTGATTTTCTCCTATATAGCAATCTCAACACACATACCTTATTCAGGGATTGTCGTTTGCCTGTGATGGAGAGTGATAGGGTGTACAAGATCTTTCTATTATATCTTACACTGCTGTTCTTGTGTGGAGGTCTCTGTCCGATTCATCTGCAAGCTTCACGTAACAATTAGCAACGCAGATGAGCAATAATTTAAGAATAATCAATTGCTTCAAAACGACGAGCATAGGTGTAAGCTTTTTTCTGTCAGTCAATTCTCACAGCACGCAATCTTCCATGAGTCGAGTGTCAGCGTACCTTGACAATCACGATGTGAAGAATCATGTCTTCCGTAGTTGAAGTATTCAAGTGTTGCTCTTCAATTTCCGTAGCTTTTTCCAATGTCATTGACATATGGATTAAAGAGTTGGAGTCTCGTGTGCGCTTTAACCGCATCATAGCTTCTTCACCTAAAATGTTAACAGTTACAACCTATTTCTTTACAGAAGTTGTGTGAACACGTAGTGCCAATCTTTATGACTTGAATTGATCTTCTTAAGAGATTTCAGTCGACGTCTTGCTCAATAGAAAGTTCAGTCAACGCTCGCTCTTGATTTTGAAGATCCTGCAATTCAGACTCTGCCTTTTAGCTTATCTTGAAATTCGTTAATGCTATAAATAGCGTCACTCAATAATGTCTTCTTATCCATGTGTAAAAAGCAAAAATCAGCGACAAATGAAATGAATAATTAAGCTGCCGAAAGAAGAAGCAGGAGATGAAAACTACTGAAGCGACATCTGTGGAGAGGTGAATGAATGTCAAACATTTTTCTTCCACTAAGACGACGGACTGATCAAAACTTGAAATTCCAGTTGCACTAGTAAGAGGTCCAGATGTTCCCTTCTGGTGTGCAAGGTTATGGATTTTTTTGAAGCAGGTTTCGTGTCAGTCAAGCTTGCTTGTGGAGTATCTGGTCTCAATTCCTCCACCAGTTATCTGTAGGTCTTAAGAGGCGGTGTGTCAAGACCTGGTTGCCTTTCCTATTACAGATTGTTGTGAACAGATGTGTGTCGGTGGCGCGAATTGTGCGTCATGGTCATGACCAGCATTTGAACCATTGCGAATCATACTTTTATTTGAGATCGAAACACTTCTTTAGGCCATTGACGTCAGACTTGGGCTTGATTGACTGTCGCAAACTAGCCATCTGGCTACTACAAGACTAAGAAATGTGACACGGCTTCTATTTCATTGACTGCCACATCATTGGTTTATCAATACCATCTTGATAGTGTGAACGACTTCCCAACTTTCTCTCATCTACCAAAGCCTGATGGAACGTTGTTTCACGACGTGAACAGCATCCCATTGAACCTGTGTAATATGTGAAGGGCACTTGACGATTAGATCAAACAAAATGAACACACCCTTCTCCCCAGCCCAGCATCCTAAAAACATAATCACCAATTTGAAATCTAGTGTTTTATGGAATAATTGATAAGCTCAGGTGATTTTGGTCAGTCGAGACGAATATTATGTAGTGAATGATAACATTGACCTGCCTTCCGACTTCGACTTATGAATCATTCCGACTTCGACTTATGCTGCATCGTAGTTATCTTGTGAAGGGTAGTTTTGATATCACCCAAGTTTTACTCTAACACGATCCTGAAGATTCTTAATTTAAAGTAAAGAATTTCTCTGGCTGCCAGTTTGAGTTAAAAAAAATATGCAATGCCTACTCAGTACTTTACCTCAAGAAAGTGTGAAAGATACCAGCTAAAGTCAAGCAACGAATCGCTTTGGGAAGATGATTAATAATCAAGAACAATTGAAGATGGAAAATATTTGATTGTTAAAATCAGCAGCTATGCCCAGGCCGAATGAGGAAATAATCTACAAAAGCTGTTTCTATCAACCAAAGAACGTGCGGATTATGACCACTAGTTCAACACTTATTACAAGGTCGAATGATGTAAGCTTACAGCGCTGACGGTCTACTCGATCCCTCACCAGCAGATTTATACTCGTACCAGACTAGAAAGTAACCTCAATAATCTGGAAGATTGTTGTCATTAAAGGTGTTCGAGGGGGTGAAGTTCCAAAAAATAACAGTACATCCGTAAGTTTTTAAGTTATAAGAACTGCGGACGTGTTCGTCAACCAAGATTAACGAGTGAGTCTGTTTCGTCAAGTTTTGATCGAAAGCTTGATTGGATCTGCAACGAACCAGCCTTGCTAGGCTGTATGATTATCAAGACTTTACGCTTCCGTACTTGAGAAGATGCATCCGGGCGAAGATAGCTAAAACTATAAAGAATATGTTCGAACGGAGTTCTGTTCGATCTTGTCATACAAAGCACCGTTCTCCCAGCTTTTTAATATATAATTGTTACACACAAAGAACATTCAGAATGATGAATAAAAATGCAAAGAAATGCTGTAACATGTTGCTCGAGGAAAATAAAACCACTGGAGGAGATCCAAACTCCTTACATCTTTCCAGTATACAGAAGGCCGAAAGCTGCCAAAAAGAGATCATAAAACTAATACACGGAACTCTCTTTCACCAGCAAGTGCAGACTCTGCAGCAACACCTTCTCGTCCAATTTTAGCTCCACGTCCTGACTATTCTCCTGAGATTCGAAGCCGTTAACGCCACCATACTCCGAGTCCCATGAACTCGCCTCTATCATGACTAAATCCGCTGCATCACATACGTTCGACATACAACAGAGGAACATCCATTTTACAGCTCGATCTATTTCAACAACACAAAATTAGATCACATACATGACACCCGAACACCTCCACCACCAGCTTCTTCTTCACGGATCCACTCCACCAACCTCCTCCTCTACATCGATCCATAATCAAATCCATGTGACATATGACTCCACATAAAACTCGTCCTCTTCTCCGCCTTTGATCTCTCACTCATGTTTAGAACGGACTAACGAACAAGCGAACGTCTAAGCACAAGCAAACAAACAAACAAACAAACAAACATGTAAACCCGCATCATCTCGCTCCCTCCCTCCCTCCCTCCCTCCCTTCAAAACTGAACAAAACACCCTAAACCCTAAATTGAACAAACATACATATATCATTAAAACATACCTTTCATCTTCTTAACAATGAAAAACGTGGAATCGAAAAATACGAAACATATTGCTTACAGTATATAAGTGCATTTTTGAAATGTGTTTATCAGTTTTTGCATAACATCAGTATTTTATTAAAATTTTAATAATTTTAATATCTTTAATTTATCATAGATTATTAAAATGCTACAACAAGATGCTTTATGCATAAAAATTTAAATGTTTTTTTATATTATGTTTGATTTAATATTATCAATTTGATATTTATTAATCTTATTGTGTGTAGTTTTACATGCAATAAAGTTTTCTTCAAATTATTAATAATGTATGAGTTGGTTTTTATTGATTTGTATTTACATTAATTTTAAAATTAAAATTTCAATTTTATATTATTTATTATTATTATGGTTTCATTAGCTTAATATGATTTAATAATTATAATGTAATTTCAGTTTATCTTTATAGAAAGATCAAATTCATGATCGATATTGATTCTAGTTAGTGAATGGCTATTATATTTTGATTTCAATAAAAGCAAATCTTTAACCTTTAATACTTTTTACAAGAGACATGATACCATAATTTTGTTTTCTTAAATTTTGATTTTGTTAACAGTCACGAATAATAATATATTGTAGAATGCAATAATAAATTTAAATTTTAAAGAGCTAATGAATATATTTATATTTATTTAAAATAAAAAATCATGAATATTATTTAAATATGCATTTATTTAAAATTATTTTTAAAAAATCAGATAAAAAAATAAAAATGACTCATCTACGTTTTAAAAAAATTAGAAATAAAAAAACCAGAATTAAAGAATCAAAATAATATTATTTATCTAACATGAGTATAATTATGTTTTAGCAACTATGTGTGTTCAACACATGCATAATTACACGCAATTATTTATTTATTTATTTTAATATATTTTTGACATATGATAATTATACAATAAAATAATGCTTTATTCAAAAAATATTTATTCAAAGATTTGTTTACTGTCTAAAATAAAAGAGTTTTAAATGCCAAGCAACAGAATAGTATGCCATCACAATCATGCTTCATTTATTTATTTATTTATTTTCTATTGTTGAAAAGCTTTATTGAATGTTGGTTGTTTTGATAGTACATCTTTTGCAGTTTTTCTCACAATGGATGTCTTCCTCTATGGTTCAAAAGCTTTTGTTTGTGTGCAGGGGTCTGAAATATTTTGTATACATGCCAGGGGTCAGAGAGATTTATTTGTGAGACACTTTTGCAACACAACTTGCAATTAATACAGCAAAGAGGCCAAATCCATTCTTACTAGGAACCTAAATATTTTCTCATGTGTTAATAGGGTCATTGAAGCAAAAACACCCTCACATGTGGAAAAAATTGTACCATATGACAAACACAACCATATTACCATGTTTTTATCAAGAAAAATTGCACATCAAAGATCTGAAACTCAACTTGATATTTGATATGAAAGAAAGAGAGGTAGATGCAAGTGGAGCACACATGGTTCCCTAGATGAAACAAATCAATTCAGTAACATACAAATTGGCAGCATGGACATTCTTGGTCCAAAAAAGTTGGTGATGCTTTTGGTACCTCTAATGAAACAATGCATACTAGAAAAGAAATTAAGGCTATATCCATAAATTCTAATATTTCCAACCTCGAGGTTAAAGTCATTGAAAATCAATTTTCAGAATCTTTAATGAATTTTTACGATCAGTTTAGTTGTTATATAAAGTTTGCTTGCTTCCTTGTTAGAAGCTTTAAAATTTGTTTATTAGAAGTTGCAGTAATAGAAGTTTGGAGGCAAATTAGGATTTTGCAAGCACAACAAGACTAAGAGTTATTGTAAGACCAATGACTACTATAAGGTCAACAATTGTAGTAGGACTAATCATGGGATTAGTAGAGATCACAATAACAATCAGGCTAGCAAATAGGATGGAACTAGTAAGGACTATAGTAGCAATAAGATTGGATACTATTATTGAACTCTTGGTAAAATAGGATCAAATTCTTTAAGATCTAAAACCTTATCAAATCCATAACAACAAAGATCTTGACACAATGTAAGATTAAGCATATCAAAATAAAACTGGAAATAATTAAACGGAATGGAACCTGAAAGATAGTATTGAATAGAAGAGAATAGAACCAAATAGAGCTAAATAGAACAGAACAAGAAAATCAAACTTTACTAAAAGAAAGAGTTTGAAGCCATACATGACCAAATGCCCCATATGGCTTCAGTCAGCCATATTTATACTTTGTTCAACTATTCCAAAACTTTCTAGAATGTTCTTAATGGTAGGTCCTACAAAGATAACCATCTTTTTAGAAGATTTTAGAAATGGATTATACCATGATAACTACTTTAAGCCTTTTTAGAAGATTCTATAGTAGATCCTATATGAACTACTATCCTAACTTCAATTCTAGAAGCTTCTTAAAAACAACTCCAATTACATATCTTTATATATGAATAATATAATCATCTTATTTATGCCATATTAGAGCTAATATTCCTCCACTAATGCCAAACATCCTTGTTTTGCTCTCGATGGCATTTTCAAATGGTATCTTGATAATGAATGAGGTTTTGTACAAGTTCCCACATTACATTGTGGATGGAATAACCTTTTCAGAGAACTTTGTATTAAAGGCGCCAATGACCATTGCTATGGCGTAGGTAGCGATGCTCCAAAATATTGTCCATTTTATATTCTTGTTGGTCATCAATCTCAACTGGTGGTAGCAGTGGTGGGTGGTGTCAGACCTAAAAGCACTTTGATTTAATATGAAACTCCTTAAGCTGCAAAACATAAAAGATCAGATGGATCCAAATATGTATCAATGTCATATTACTTGAAGTCTTGCTCAAGAGTGTACCCAACACCTAGCTGTAGAAGGTAAAATAGAAATTATAACAAGAAAATTTGAATTCTAATAGAATATTAAACAAACTCTTATTAAACCTTAATAATGATAAATAAGATTTAATAAAATTCAAAAAAAATCTTAAAGAAATTATAAAAAAATAATAAGAAATTTTAAAAGAGTTGAAAGAAAATCCACAATAAAATTTAAAAGAATCTTTAAGAGGTTTTAAAATATATTAAAATAATCATAAATATATTTTAAATAAATTTCAACTAAGTTCTAATTTAACCTTAATTGAAATCCTAATGGACTTCAATCAAATCTTAAACAAATCCTAAATCCTAAACCAAATCCTATATCAAACCTTGGACAAACCGTAAATCCTATACCAAATCTTAGATCAAACTTTAGATCGTAAATCAAATTCTAAATCAAACCTTAGACAAATCTTAAACCCTATATCAAATCTTAAATTAAATCCTAAACAAATCCTAAACGCTAAATCAAATCCTAGATTAAACCTTAGATCCTAAACCAAATCATAGATCAAACATAAGATCCTAAACGAAATTCTAACTCTATTCAATCTAATCCTAGTGCAATTTAAAATATTAATATCTATCAATTGAACTATTGATCTTACTTAAAAAATCAAACACCTTTGAAAAACTAAGTTGACAATAAGTACAAAAAAATTGCACTTATCAAATGAAAGAAAAATCCTAAATTCTGCTTGGATGTTGATTGGTCTCCTACTCCAATCTAAATATTAAATTTCTAGTACCAATATCTCCTTATTGAATTATTCAATTATTTTCAAATTTCACATATGTGTAAAAAATCAAGTCTATTATTCTTAAATATAAATTTTATTCCAATCCAACTAATATATTGTTGAAGATCTTAGAAATCCTAATAGCCTCTTAAAGTCCAATTTCCAAGACCTCAACCTACTTGAAATTCAATAACCTTCAAATCAATCATTCAATCAAGCTCAAACTTATAGTATATAGTTTAGACAACTATTCTCATAAGTCATCAAATTTTGAATTATAGATCTACTACTAAACTTACAAAATTCTTCAAAACATAATATTCTTTTTATTTCACAAATTCCAAAGTCGCCAAAAACAATTGTGACTTTGCAAAGCTCTTGTAAAGTCATTATATACTCAATTATTTCATAAAATATTTAAAAAAATCCTATTAAGTTTATTTTCAAATTCCACTCTCCAATCTGCAAAAAAACCCCCAAATTGCTATAAGTACTCAATTTTGTGTCTTGGGATCTGATTTCGACCGAGGTTGATAAGTAGTTCTCTTTGGATATCAAATTTTGATCTTTTGAGTTAATTTTTATTCCAATCAATTCTTAACTTCTTCATATATATACTCATATTCTTTATTTTTCTAATCTATCTTGTTTTGACTTATTTATGGCTTTACATAGTAAGTAGAAGTCTATTTTACAAGAATGTATCATTTAAATCTTTAGTTCTACTTTCTTTTGGACTATTGTCTATTTTCTAAGATAATTTGCTACAATATCTGATGTAAGATCTTCTATAATATAATAGATTCTTCACCCTTTTACCTATTAGTTATATTATATCACGACATCCACCTCTCTTGAATCTGTACATCTTTTGACATGCATCATTGATTCTTCAATATGAATTGATATAAAGTATTCTTTGTCTTGGTCAGATTCTTGATCTTCAATTTGCTCTTCTATTTCCATCTCAATGTTTCATAATGGATTTTATTCTTTATCAAAATTAATGTTTTCAAGTCTTTTCTTCAATAATATGATTATCTTTTCTGCTGTAGGTATTTTTAATTTTGTACCATCAAGTTCTTGTAATAAGTATGTCCTATTGTCATTTACTTTTTTGACAACACAAGGCCTGTGATTGCTCGTTTTACTTATTCCGAAAGAAATCTCCCAGTATAAATTTATATAGGGGGATTCGAACATAGGGAAAGACCATGTATATGAGCTCCAATTGTTAGGGTCACG